AGGGAGGAGCCTTGAGGACAGTGTGGTGTTGCCAAATCTAATAATACCAGCTGATTTAAAAATATTGTTTAGTATCTATCTATATATTAATAGGCAAGCATGTTTCTTTAAAACCTTTTTTCTCAGCTCGTGTGCATCGTAGGGAAAATCTACGCATACCGTTGGAAAGCTATTTTCCTGTAGGTGTGCAGAATCCCTTTATAAATTTAAATAGGCTCAAAGATAAGCACAAAAAATAAGTTTAAAAGTTGTAAAAAATTAACATGGATCTTATGCGTTGCTATGCTGGTTACGAAATAACAACGAAATATAAACAGAAAATCAAAACAAATGGAGGAAACTCCAATCACATGTTTTATTTACAGTGTGGGGTGAAAATAGTTAAGTGAGTACATTACATATTTTTGGTCGAGTTTCGACCACTGGACGACCTCTCGTTTTAATTAAGTTGTGTTGACCCGTTAGGGTGATATGGCAACGTCGCACTAGCCTTGTCTTGTGATTGGCTGCCGCCAACTGCAGACTCCTAGTGGTCCCGACACTAGTATTTTCAGTTCTGGTCTTATTGCTTGGCTTTACCGCAGCCAGTCTAGACACACTTTCCACGCATTTAACGAAGAAAATCCATTTGACAAGATGCTTGTACACATTCATGCAGGAACACAGAACTGAGTATTTTTTACAATGGTGTTTTTGCTTTCCAAACTAGTCAATCAATAAATGTTGTGATGTACCTATCTTGTTTTACCTAACCTGACCAAACAACCTGGAGATTAAAATGTATAACAAAATACAGTATTGAATCATTTTCAATGTTGTTATACCAATATCTTTACTGAAATTGTCCATGATATTTTTATTAGAGATTAATACTATTCAATCTGATCATATAAAAGTGTAAGTAAACAACAGTGACAGTCACCAACGACTCATAAACGAGGTGCCAAAATGATAAACATTGTAATAAAGATGTAGGGTCCTTCATGAAAATAGCCTATATAAAGCATATTGAGGAGCTGGTGGAAAATTTTACTGAAGAAAAAAAACAGGTTTTGAATAAATGACGAAAACATGAGAAAATGAAGACATTGTAACATAACAACCTCTTTAAGTTGGCCCCCTTTCAAACGGATATCTCCGGACAACAACACACCGGTTTGTACTAAAAATAAATAACTTCTTGATCAGCATCGTACGTGTTATTAAATTTACGGAAAGTAAATAAATAAACGTCTTATAACACTTAAAACATTTAATTTCCGTAAAAATAAATATAAATTATTGTAAAACATAACATTATTTAACTCTACAAGTGCATTATCAAACAATGATTGTGTTTTGGAGTCTTGGCGCAACCAAAATTGTTTGCCACAATTGTTCATTGGATGCATGACTGTAGCGATAATTTCAATCAAACACAACATAGACAAGAAAACGGTGAACAGCCAGAAGTAATCCGTCACGCAGAAGTAGAATCTTAACTGCATAAATTATTGGTGTTTTTATTTTAATTTTTAGCGGCAGAACAAGACTACACTGGGTGAGCTTCTGATGTAAAAATGGATGAACGACCAATCCATAATATAAAAATCTTATTGCACTTTTGTAATAAAATTTTTTTTTTAAGCCTTGTGTTTTTTTCTGAATTGGAGCTATCAAAACTGAGTTGATAAACAATTAAGTTGAACCATATAACCTACCGATAACTAGGCCTAACTATATAAAACCATCAGAACCTAAGTATACTGATAGATGAAGACTGTACTGAAGAAGATGCTAAAGGGTGGCTTTGTATAATCTGTCACTACGGCAGATTAAGATGCTGAAATAAGGATTCTGAATGCTTATGAAAAGTGTTTACTACCTTAGAATGCAAATTTTTAATTAAGAAGAACACCCAGCACACACACCAACAGTATCTTGTTACACTGCACCAGACATAAGGCCTTCACACTTGCTTCCATGGAAATAGCATCAGAGGCAATTTTTCGATAATAGGCCTACATATCAAGCTGTAACTAGTGTCGGTAAATAGTTCTACATATGAAATATAATGCAATGTAATGCAGATACACTCTGAGTAGCATGTTGAATCAACTGCTAAAATGAAAAAAAGAACCTTTGCAAAACAAGACTCTGATTGAAAGGGATATTGAAGCACCTAAAGCTGTGTTTCCGAATGCTGAGATTTCATGGTACAAAGATATTTCAGGTATTGAGATTTTTGAAGCTTACCATAACATTTAACAGAAATTGTAACCTAACAAAGATTAATCAGGTTTGGTACTAAATTTTAAAAATAAAATTCCCTGACTTTTCCAGGTTTTCCGGACTGATATTATACTTTTTCCAGGTATACTGTAAGTCGATATCGACTAATCAAAATCAAGAAATATTAGAAAAAATGTAAATATTTAACTTATTTTTAATCACTCCCAAACAAAACTTGTTTTAAACTATATACATATATCGATTCCTCTTCCAAACCATTAACTACCTACCGGTACATAAAAGTGTGCATCAGTGCTAATGTCGTTCTTTATGCCATTAGTCATCACCCTGATATAAACATGTCTAGGCCTAGAGCAAAATGTAGCATAGGTATCTGTAAAAAGGTAGTCTTTCAGGAGAAATTCCAGAATTTGTTTATAATTAAATTCCCTGACTTTACCAGGTTTTCCCTGACCGTACCAACCCTGTTAATTAACTTGTTTATGGAATAGCCTACTTTTATTTACTAGTATTAAGCCTACCATTCTCTTCCTGATAATTTTTACACTGTGTTGATAACAAAAATATTCAGGGCCGGTTCTAGGAATTTTTCAGAGTTAAGCGGACACCTGGGAATCAGCGCCACCTAGAATTCCCCCCCCCCACCCTTGAGCATAACTTAACCCTATTTGTGAATTTTTTTGGGAAGAACTTTTTATAAGTTTAGGTTGGAAGAATACTTGCAATTAAAGACGTTTTTCAACTACCTACTGTTTATTATTCACAAAATTTAACATTTTTTACACTTTTACTAATTTGCAGAATAAATAAACAGAATAAATTGGAGATGTGATGGTTGAAAAATTCTTGTGGATAAGTGGGATATAGGCCTACACTTTAGCAAAACCCAAAGTTAACAATTTATTTCTAAATGTAAAATCAATTTTTACAGGATAATTTGGATACGATATAAGCTTTTATAAAGCCTATTACAATGAAAAACAGTAGCGGTAGACATAAGAGTGCAAAACAACGTACTGCTCTGCTCTAGGAGGGGTGAGTGATCAGGGGAGAAGGGAGGGGGAAGTTTCTTGGGTTGTGACAAGTGGCCCTGCGCGCTTATCTCGAGCATGGAGCATGAGTCATGAAATGAAACCCACAGGCGCCGCGCTGTACGCTGCCGAGCATCAGCTTACTACAAATCAATGCCTTGAGTCCTTGAGTTGAAGTGCTGTACAAGTATACACATTTTCCAAGTGCTGTTGGTACAAACAGAATAAATGCCTTTGGTGTGGTGCTTTGGATATAGGTACTCTGAGTGAAAAAAATATTAAGTTGTTCACTTTTCAGTAAAGATGTTTCCAATTTCGTATAGGCCTACTGAAAAAAAAAAATGTGTCCCGTTGGCGCCACTTTTTTGTGGCGCCAAATGCGACCGCGTAGTTCTCGTATGGGTTAAACCGGCCCTGAAAATATTGGTAACAATATTTACCAATCTCTGACCTATTTACAACATTTTATTTCTGTACAAAACTTCTCATATGACAAAAGTATTAAGGAGACATGGCTGTATACAAAGAATTAGAAATTACCGGTAGGTAACCTATTAGGTTCAGATAAGTTTTGTGTTCAATTTTACAGTTCCAGATTACTTGGCAAATTTTGGCGACTATTGCTTGCACAAAATTGCTTGACAAAATATGGTTAAGTGTTTGGGAAATAGTCAGCTGGATAAACTACCAGAAGATAAATCTAAGTTAGGAGTACCCTTCAGAATGCAGGCTACTTTGACAATTTGTTTACAAACCTGTCTGTTTAGATGTTTACAAGAAATTTGATAATAGTGGATCAGGCACATTGCAAGAAGATTGTAGCCTATAGGCCTAGGTACCGGTACCTATCTAAAATCTGCTCTCTTACAGGGTGTTTTAAAATTAGTAGGTAGTTTAGTAGTGTTTTTCAGGTGAACAATAATTATGGCTAAGTTAACACTGTACTATAAAAATATTAAAGACAACTGTCGAAAATGTTTTCCAACCCATCAACAAAGTCATTTAAGAGGATCTAACTTACTTTGCGGACATTTGCACAATTGTCATTTTTTAGGGAATTATGGAACAATTATGAACAATTATGGGAATTATGGTTCAACCCCTATTGTTAGCGTTGTATTTGATACTGCAGGTAAGCTTACATGGTAGAGATGCAAGACTACTTACTTTGCGGACATTTGCACAATTGTCATTTTTTAGGGAATTATGGAACGGTTCAACCCCTATTGTTAGCGTTGTATTTGATACTGCAGGTAAGCTTACATGGTAGAGATGCAAGACTGGACATAGGCTAACTTAGACCTATAATTTTAACCTATCCCATATTTAGGCTATCCTAAGTAAGTTACTAAAAACACATTGGTGGGCTATAAGTCATGCCCAGTGAAATGTGCCTAACTTAAAAGCCAACTTATTCACACACAGCATTTGCCCAAGTTAACTTGGGCTAAGTTACTTAAGCTTAACTGACCAAGCCTAAAAACTTCATTGCCTAAAAAGTTCATAACTTAACTCATTTGTCAGTTGTTAGGGTACACTTTAAGCTGAAAAACCCTGATGTGTAGGCCTTAAGTTAGGTATCTACAGAACCCTTGGGCTATGAACTTTCGAGGCCGCAAACGTTAGTTTAGTCCCAGCACTGAAATATTCTTAAACTTATTTGTGAGCTTTTAGGCTAGGTCTTAAGTTAGCCTAAGTTAAGTTAGTGATGATAAAAGAATAATGACTTGGGCCTACCTCCACCCTGCATCATTTTGTAGAATTTTGATTCTATGTGGAGTTGTGGATGCCTGGTCTTGATACATTCTAACTTGATTGCAACTTCCTCACCCGTAGTAATATTGGTTCCTGAAAATGTACAAATTACTTAATCACCCTTTCATAAGGAGGCCTAGGATGTGCCCTTGTGAACATGCTACGTATTGGCCAATATAAAACGCATTTAGTTAGAAACCTACCTAAATATATGTCTCCAAATGAACCACTGCCTATTTTTCTTCCGAGTCTGTATTTGTTGCCCACTCTCAGCTCCATATCTGGAAATAAGCGACAATCATTTAGACAATGGAAACATAAACACCTCGCATTGTGTCAGCCATATTTGAAATTTCCTAATGAAGTTGAGCTAAGCAGATAGTGAAATAAGATCAAATAATGCAAAATTACCTGGTGCTTGAGACGAGGACTGGCGCTACAACGAACCGTCAGGTTCTATCCTAATGTTATAACGACATTTGGTTTAAAATAAAAAGTTTACAACATAATTAGAACAAAATTTTATTGAAAACCCCGACCGACATCAAGACGACAGATGATCGCGACCCTACGCGATTAGTTACAGAAACATCCGCTTCACTGTGGGTGGCGCCACCTGACTCCCTGTGGGAGATAGAAATCGTTGATTGGATGCAAATCAAGTGAGGGAAATTCAAACCAGCTGATTGACAAAGAAATCAATAATAAGAAAATAATGCATCATCTTTTTAAATTTAAGTATTTGTAAACATGAAAATACTGAACTTTTGATTTGAAATTGACATCACTGTAAATTAGGCCTCTGTAAAACAAGTACTATTACATAATTTTATGTCATAGGTGTAAAAACACTTTGTAGGTCTGGAACTAACTTATAGTGGACCCTAACATTCAAACTTGCAGTAAAAAAAAAACAATGATCTGACAACATTTGGGAAAAATAATATTGTGACGACAATAACAAATCAAATAACATAATTATTCTTATAGACATTCCATCTCTATGTTAAATTTGTAGCAAGATTTTTTGGGGTAGCGGATTTTTATCCCCCTGGAATTTTACCCCCTGGGCAAATGTGACTTCACAAACCAAGGGGTAAAATTCCAACCGCAAACTTTTGAATTTTGCGACATCAGCTCGATGGATTAAACGTGGAATTAAACATATATTTTCATGGTTGTGAATTTAATCAGAACACATCAAATTATAAAAATCTAGAGTGTGTACGGCCCTAATTGGGCCCCGGATTGGGATTTTAACCCCCGGAATTTCACCCCCCGGATTTTTACCCCCGGAATTTTACCCCCTGGCCAGATATATAAATTAGTGAGAATGATTAATTACCTTCATTCTGTTTTAATTTATTGAAGATTTTATTATTAAGTAGCCTATCTTAATTTATTTGTAACATCAACTAATCGAACAGGTTTTTGATTTTAACTTTTGAGATTCGAGTATCAGGATTCGATCTTTGAAGCCAACTGTTGATTAAAATGATGTATAAACAAACATCAGAATGGTAATTGATTCGAAGATTTCTTTAACGATTTATTATACAACCGTGGTAAAACAATGTTTTTTGTTTGTATTGTAACAATAACAAAATATGCCTTATTGTTTCTTTACGAAAAAATGCTCACCCAATTATCCTTTAAATGAGCTACTCAGTTTATTTTACATACTTATTATTAACCAACAGTTTGGCCCCAAATGCAAATCCCGAACATCAAAATTAAACAGCGAATTCTGTTTGCTTAGTTGAGATTAAAAAATAAATAAGGAAAGATAGGCGACTAAATAATGAAATGCTTACAAATAATTAAAAACAGAAATAAGAAAATCAATCATTCAATTTATAAAATCGGCCAGGGGGTAAAAATCCAGAGGTAAAATTCCGGGGGTAAAAATCCGGCCCGTATATCTTCAGTTGTCTAAACGCTAGTTATATGGACAGGGGGTAAAATTCTGGTTTTTATCGCTAATCTAATTAATCACCCTCTGGCTAATTTCATTAGACTTCCAAACCTGCGGGGGTAAAATTCCGGCCGCAAACAAAGTTTTGGCCACGAGGTTACTACGTCATAGTGATGTCAGCTTTGCCCAGGGGGTAAAATTCCAGGGGGATTAAATTCCGGCGACCCGATTTTTTATCAAAATTGTCGTAGTTGATGTGAGCCACCGACAGATTGCGCTGATCTAAATCACTAAATTCTGTCGAATGCACAAACTTTTTTACTAAGTAAAACTTAGGGAATGGCTTATGGTAAGCTATAGCAACGTCCACTGGTCCACTATAGCTGTATAACCAAACAGTGAGACACAAATAATGAGAAAATAACCCTAAATAATAAAAAAAATTGTAAACAAAACACAAAACATCTACAGAAAACCAGACAGAACTAACAATAAAATTGGCTTCAGCTTTTCCATAAGGATGAGAAATCTACTAAGGGACTATGTTTTATCCATAGTAATAGCCTGCAGTAATTTACTAAAAAACAAATAAAACTACGGATTTTTTAAATATAAAGAGATATCTACTGTAACTTGTATTTGTTTGAAAGATAACATTTATTTTTCAAGTATGAGTATGCAATTTTTACTAAACATGTGTATACAGGGTGTTTTTTTTAAAACTTGCATCTTTATTTATGTAAAAACCGCAATAGATAGAAATATTCAGTTTGCGGGTATCGTCTATTGACGTAGGGGGCACAATTTTTTTGAATTCAATGTTACATTCACATTCCCCCCCTTTCCCCCCCTACCCCCAACTTATTTTTTTTAAATAGCAAGGTACCCCTTGTGACATATCAAATGAAAGAGCATGAAAAAAGAAAATGTTTGATGAAAAAAAATTGAAAATCGGTTCATAAACTTGGGAGATATTCCCCCCCTCCCCACCCGGAACTTAATTTTTTTTTAATAGCAAGGTACCCCTTGTGACATATCAAATGAAAGAGCATGAAAAAAGAAAATGTTTGGTGAAAAAAAATTGAAAATCGGCTCATGAATTTGTGAGATAATCCCCCCCCTTTTCCCCTACCCATAACTTTTTTTTAAATAGCAAGGTACCCCCCCTTGTGACATATCAAATGAAAAATAAATTTCACCAACAATTTTCTTTTTTCATGCTCTTTCATTTGATATGTCACAAGGGGTACCTTGCGATAAAAAAAAATTAAGTTCCGGGGAGGGGGGAGGGATATATCTCGCAAATCTATGAACCGATTTTCAATTTTTTTTCATCAAACATTTTCTTTTTTCATGCTCTTTTATTTAATATGTCACAAGGGGTACCTTGCTATTTAAAAAAATTAAGTTGGATGAAGGGGGGAAAGGGGGGGAATGTGAATGTAACGTTGAATTCAAAAAAATTGGGCCCCCTACGTCAATAGATGATTCCCACAAACTGCATATTTCTATCTATTGCTATTTTTACATAAATAAAGATGCAAGTTTTAAAAAAAACACCCTGTATAGTGTACGTATAACAATTATTTTAAAAATATTAAAAGAAATGAGTAACTCATTTAATACAGTAGTTTAAATTTCATACATTTTCAACAAAAAATAAATTTAAATAACACTTGGACATCTAATGCAAAAACATACAGCTACTTTTAAAGGGAGCATTAACAATGGCAATTCTACTATTACTGTGTATGCATTTATTTTTGTTTTGAAAGGAAATTATTGGGTAGCTACATAGGGCCCATTAGAATTAATGGAATTCTTTTTTATGCAGTTAAAAAGATTCAAGTATCAATAAGACACAGTCCTACTATCAACCTCTTCCCTATCTTAAATTCTTTCATTAAATATTAAAAATATCTATTGCGAAAAAACTCTTTTAGCGAATTTCCCTAAAGAGAAGTAGCTATTCAGCGATCACAAGCTATTACCGTATGTGGCACGGTCAGACCTAGGCCTGGGACCGACTTTCTTTTTCATTTTGATGTCCCCAGAGGCCAAAAAAACCATTCGTTCAATTTTTTATATACGTAGGGAAATATATATAGATTAATATTTTTAATATATGCGTCCATGAATGCATAATAACTTGAGTAATTTTTGTCCGATTTTAATGAAATTTGGTTGAAAGGTGTAAGGCAGGATAAACTTGAATGAGTTCGCGAACCAGCATGATCGAACCATGGGAACAGGGTTTTATGGGGTAAAAATACAGTAGTAGAACCTCTTTTAATCTGAACCCCTGTAATCCGAACGTCCACTAATCCGAACGCCTCATTGCTGTACTCTATACACAGGACAGTAGTTCTTTATTGTATACTGTATATTGATATACGCACCATAATTATTTCAATTGTAATGTACAGTACTGTTTTCCCCTTTGTTTAATACTGTATTAAATAAACACTGTATTTTACTTTATAAAGCATTTTCCAGTTTTCCCTAGCTATTGTTATGTAAAAACAACAATATGTTCTGTAATCCAAACTATTCAACAGTCCAAACTACCCCCGGTCCCAATTAGTTCGGATTAAAGAGGTTCTACTGTATTTTTTCTTATTTTTGACCCTCTAAACACAAAATTTCCCAATTTCTCTTTAGGTCTTTTTAAAGATCTAAAATAGCAAATAATTTAGTTTATCAAAGTGTTTTTGTACGGTCATTGGTAATGGAGAAAATTAAAAATTCCCATGTTATTCATATGGAGAATACTGTAAAATGTTGTAGTTTGCTTGTTTATCTATAAGTATAAAAGAGGATGTTTGTATATATATTTGACAGTGATAAACTCAGACACCGCTGAACCGATTGCCACGAAACTTGGTACATACGTGTAGAATTGCATGGAATAGGTTTATACACCATCAATTTCGTGATCCGTCCAATCGGCTCCGCCCCAGTGGCTCTGGAGTTTCCCATGTTAACCTTATGAGAAATGGAATTAATGAATCTTAACAGCTGTTTCAATTAAACAAGTTGGTTCTGTTCTATGATGTTCAATAGCATTAAAGTTACATGGATTACCAACAGGGTGCAGCACTATTATTTCTTTTTCATTTATGACATCAGCTAATTTGCAACCAAAAGGTCAGTGAGCATAGCAAACGAACTTCAACCTGGAGGCGAGTTAGCGTGAACGAGCTAACCTGAAGGCAAGTGAGCGCAGCGAACGAGCTCCAACCTAAAGGTGAGTGAGCGTAGCGAACGAGCTCCAACCTAAAGGTGAGTGAGCGTAGCGAACGAGCTCCAACCAGGACGTGATTGAGCCATGCGAACGAGGTCATCTTGAAAATTAAGAAGTTAAACGGGGCAAAGCCCACGGGTTACAGCTAGTAGATATATATTATGATAAAACTTGGCAAATTTATTTATTTTATACTAAGCTATTGATATTTTACCATTTAAACACACTTTATTTTTTTCCTTGTAGCAGAAAACCTAGGTACTCGTTAAAGCTAATGGTTTATTTTTAAATAGATTTGATTGAAAATAAATTAATCACTTTGAATAAATGTAGGTTTACACGTTTGTACTAAATTTCATCAAAATCGAATCATTCTTGTTCGAGTTATGTATAGTGCTAACGGACACATACAGTGTGTAAATTAAGTCTGGCACACATTTTTTATCTTTTTTTCTATAGTAGATAGAAGAAATCAATTTGCGGGATTGATTAATAACAAATGTTAGGCACTTTTTCATCATTTTGAAAAAAAAATCCCCTTAAGGGTTAGGTGGGGGTGGGGGGTAACTAAAAATTTTCAAATGACAACCCCCATCTTGTGACCCCTCATTTTAAAGGTCATTGGAAGACAAATCCAAAGATGTTTCTGAAAAAAATTTTTTTGCACCCTATCCAAGATGGCGGTTTAAAATGTACTTAGGGTTGAACGGGTAAATTAGGTATGGCACACATTTCTTATCTTTTTTACTCTTTGTACATAGAAGGAATTAATTTGCGGGACTGAGTAAGAACAAATGTTTGGCACTTTTTCATCATTTTGAAAAAAAATTCCCCTTAAGGGTAAGGTGGGGGTGGGGGGTAACTAAACATTTTCAAAAGACAACCCCCATCTTGTGACCCCTCATTTTAAAGGTATTTGGAAGACAAATTTAACGATGTATCTGAAAATTTTTTTTTGCATCCTGGGGGTTGTCATTTGAAAATTTTTAGTTACCCTACACCCCCACCTTACCCATAAGGGGAATCTTTTTCAAAATGATGAAAAAGTGCCAAACATTTGTTCTTACTCAGTCCCACAAATTAATTCCTTCTATCTACAAAGAGTAAAAAAGATAAGAAATGTGTGCCATACCTAATTTACCCGTTCAACCCTAAGTACATTTTAAACTGCCATCTTGGATAGGGTGCAAAGAATTTTTTTTCAGACACATCTTTGGATTTGTCTTTCAATGACCTTTAAAATGAGGGGTCACAAGATGGGGGTTGTCATTTGAAAATTTTTAGTTACCCCCCCCCCTTACCCTTAAGGGAATTTTTATTTTCAAAATTTGTAAAAAGTGCCGAACATTTGTTATTAATCAGTCCCGCAAATTGATTTCTTCTATCTACTATAGAAAAAAAGATAAAAAATGTGTGCCAGACTTAATTTACACACTGTATACAGGGTGAATAAAAAGTCAAGACCCCCCATCTAATATTTTCCCAAGTAAATATACAGAGATATCCTTTTGGTGGTCGTTCAATCTTAGCAGGAAGTTTCATTTTATGACTGCGAAATTTTTGAGTGTCCCCCCAAAAGCCGATTTGGGGAGCAACTAAACATTTTTCAATGTAAACCTCCATCAAGTGACACCTCATTTTGAAGTGTTTACAAAAACTTTAAGAATGGTGAAAACTAGAGATCTCAATCTCTTTTCTATCTAAAATGGTAGCCAATATTACCATTACGAACCAATTTTACCATTGATTTTCCACAACATTTGACGGGCTACTATTTTGGATAGAGAAGAGATTGCGACCTCTAGTTTTCACCATTCTTTAAGTTTTTGTAAACACTTCAGAATTAGGTGTCACTTGATGGGGTTTACATTGAAAAATTTTTAGTTGCCCCCCATATCCTCCCTTTTGGGGGGACACTCAAAAGTTTTAAAATCATAAAATGGAACTTCCTGCTAAGATTGCACGACCACCAAAAGGATATTTCTGTATATTTACTTGGAAAAATATTAGAGGGGGAGGGTCTTGACTTTTTGTTCACCCTGTATATACATATATATATGAACTTGAACGAATTGTGTTTTTGGCCTCTATAGGGACCTCAAAACAAAGAAGTAAATCGGTGCCGGGTCCAGGTCTTACCATGAGTACTACAGTAATAGCTTATTCCCTATATGGGAAATTCGCTAAAACCTCTTGGTTCAATTTAAACATATTCATACGAGGTGTGTCATAATATTCATGGTTAATATAATCATTCTTCTTGATAGTTATTTGTATGTTTTCTCAAGAGTCAAAATATTTTCTAAACTATTTTGGACAATCCATTTCTGGATTTTTTAAACATTTTCATAACTTCCAAGCTTAATGTGCAGGTGCTGCTCTAAGTTATGATATTACTCAACACCTTTGAGGGCTATACTATAACACACGTAGAAGCCACTGGCAGGATTTTGAACCCAGCCCTTAAAGATAGAAGTCCTGTGCTCTGATCAACAGACAAGCAGCTCTCTAGATTGTGAGGTGTGATAACTGTTGGACCAGTAATTCTAACTAGTAATGTAAAGAGTCAGTACTTGACTCGTTAAGTATCGAGTAGACTCAGTACTCGTGAACTTAAGTTAACTAAAACTGCCGCTACGAGTCTACAGCGCTTGGTTTGGGTGCAAAAATGGGCAGCCCTACAAGGGTCTCCACATAAAAACCATAACCTTTTGATTAGGAAAAACTTTTTTTGTTTTTAGCGAATTTCCCATATAGGGAATAAGCTATTATTAATCTTTAGTTGCTTACCTTGGGTCTACTGCTCAATAGTTTGGTGTTGTCACTGCTACATGGGTGTCCAACTCAACACCATTCGGAAATGCTTAGAAGACCATTTGTTATTTTATTTATTTTTTAATGTTTGTTTTAATGTATCAGACTTAGGATACTGAAGTAGACACCCCATCTATACAACCCAGCTGTAGTCTGTCTTTGATAAAAAAAGCACACTAATTCTGTTAGCCACTCTTTATCATAGAACTTGCTGTAAAGCGGGACGGACGTATGGCCATGTTAACATAGTTAAAGGGCCCTTTCACACAAGGCCACTGGTGGCTGCCACTAGTAGCTATGCATGAGTGAAGGATGAGTGTAGAGTGGAGTGAGATGATCTGTGTAGCTTGTTACAGACTTAAGAGTGCGTTCACTAGAAATCTGGTTACAAGTAAGATATTTTCAGCGCTTGAGAATTTAGTGTTTTGGACAATGTCTTCATCAAGTGGTTAAGGAGTTATTTTTGCTTGAAAATGTCAAAAAAAATTTTAGAAGGAAAGTTGGTGTTTATGCAATTAACCGCGGAAGAGGTAGGTATGCAGAATACCACCACTTATTTCCTCAACTGACATTGGACAAAGTAAGGTTTTTTCTTATATGAGATGGAGTTTACCACGTTTAGTTACATACTCAAGAAATTCTATTAGCATACGTAGTTTGAGGTGTTTGTCCCAAACAGCCCCTCTTCTTTAGCCTTGAGATATCAGTTCATCGACATCCATACGGCACAGTTGTTTGTTACTGACTGGTTCGGTCAACAAGAGCCGGAAAACAAGTACAAAACGTTCTTGCGTGCTTGTCAGAACTTTTAGCAAGCGCTTGCTAGCCGGTGCAAGCTTTGTCTGTGAACGCACACGCTTGATACAATGTAGACTTTTCTCACACCGGTTGGAACTTGCAGGCGCTTGTAACCAGCTTTCTATGTGAACGCACATTAAGATTATCTGTTTCATTGGCCAAAGCAATTTATTTATCTAAAGCACAATGATCAGGAACAGCTGGGTCCAGTCTCGTACCATCAAAAAGCTACTGACTTTTCTCAGACAACCTTTTAATTGTTAGGCAAGCACTCTACACTCAGCTACCTAGCCTGTTCTAATTGTTATTATTTATTTATTTATTTATAATGGGAATGAACAGCCATTACAACACACAGATGAAAAACAGCTGATCTTGAAAAATTCTGTCTTGTTTATGATGTGGCCAACCAAGCTGTAATGGTTCAGTTACCGTTTTAAAATCCAAAGGCTCCCAGTCAAATACTGAGAAAAATAAATGACTGGCTAAAGAAACATTGACTGTCTTAACAATAAAGCTACAGGAGATATTTGACTCCATTATCCATTTATATTTGGGTTTAACCAACCTATTGAGTTGGTAACTTAAATAAGTGTTTCAAATAGCACAGCCATTTCCAAAAGACAACTGCAAAAATTTGGTACATGTGTAATGTCAATAACATCCTTGTGTTCACTGGATGGCTATTCAACCTTCAAAACATGATTTTGAATTAGTTTTAATAAAATCAGTTCAGTTTCACCTCTTAAGTTATAAAAAAGGTGAAGTAGGTATATTTTTAAATTAATTTGTATATGTACTATAAATCTTGCCTGGCAACTTTCTGTGTGGCTTCAAGCTGTTCTGGTTGAGTTATGCTTGTAAAACAGTTGCAAGTTAAGTTGGCTTTTTAATTAAATGACAAACTTATTATATTTAAATGATGTTTTGACAATTTTTGTTCTATACAAAACAGTGCTGCAATAAGTACAATAAGCTTTTAACCCTTTGAGGTTGATTTTTCTTTTATTTTTCAGCAAGTCTAGGTTGCCATTTGAGCAGTCGGGAAAATGGAGCCCGGCGACCTATACTCGCCATTCTATTTTTTTCTAAGTATAGGTCGCCATTTGACCGCAAAGGATTAAGCGAACTGTCTGGAGGAATTACGAATGGATTTTACAGCATATATACTATATTTACTTTGATATTTTATGACATTATTGAGTCATTTCACACTTTTTCAGAAATCAGGACAACAGAGATCCAAGACTTACAACTACAGTCATTTGTATGGATAACAAAAGAAAAACAAATTTACCACACTATGACTACTTCTCAGTTATTAAAAATACAATAGGAATGTAAAAAAATAGACAAGGTTTAAAATATTTTTTTTATTTAAATAAAAATTAAAACACTCATTTTACTTCCTTAACTTGAAGACCTGAAACAAAAAAAGAAAGCACAACTTTACTAATGTAAGAATACAAAAATAAAGAAAATAAAGTTGTAAGAAAGTCAACTAATCATTAATTTTAAAAAAGCACAGTTTATTCTAATTCTTTGGTAACTTAAAAAAAACTTCTTTGGCAATTTGTTATTTAAAATCAAATTACAAGAGGGGTTTGGCTGCTTATAATAATTCAATTGTTGACATGTCTAAAACTGAAATACAGTAAATCCCTAGGGTCACAGTGTACAATTAAATTCTAAACAAGAACTTTTAATTAATTTATCTTACTTTTAAAGCTATGGTTCCACAGACTGTGGAATTTCCACCGTGCGTTGCAAAAATTTCCGCTGCGGAATTACGACACTGGTTCAATGGAGTGCCCTGTGTCCGGTTGCATTGACGTGCGTTTACGCATCCGGAATTTACGGTTCCGCATGGCGGTCAAATCATACTGGTCTGAGATCAGCGGCAGTACAGAATCCGCCAGCGGAGATGAGCTATCAACTATTGGGACCGTTTAGTTATTGCAATTACATTATATCTTGTGCGGTAAAAAGAGGTGTTTATGAACGTTTACTCAATTTTAGTACATATCTTAATGTTACCGTTAGTTTAATCCCGGCATTCAAAAGTTTTATGTCTTGATTAGAGGGGTTGGCGGGTAAGTCATCTTTAATGACATCAACCAAAATAAAAATTGGTCTTTTAACACATTGCAGTACCGCTTAAACATTGTTTCATTGTCTACCAAATGTTTAAGAACGAGTTTGTTGTAAGCTCTTTCGCTGTCCCGATTCTTAAATATATCACTCCGATCACTAATGAGTTGACACCAATAAAGACAAAAGATCGACAACATCAACATCATCGTAAGCATCAAAGCCACGAGAGATTTCCTCTTCCTAACCATACTTGCCGCTAGTTCGGACACAACTGAATTCCCGCAGTCGCAGCGGAACCACCCATCAGGATTTTACGTGGCGTAATTTCTGCAACGGGCAAATTTCGCATCACAAGGCAGAAATTCCGAATTCTGTGGAACCATAGCTTAACTCTTGGGTTGCCATTTATTAAATAGAACTTAAATGTTGATTTGACAACACCAAAACTTTAGAGATCAGTCTTATAGCTCATTTTATTGTTTAGGGTAGCCTTATTTTTAACTTTATATTTACCAGCCAGACCTTCTAAGCTAAACAGTCTAAATTAGATTTTTTTATAGGCTGTTATTACAATAGTTGTGTTTAGTACACTGTAGTTTACTAATTCCTCTTAAGATTTTAAAACTAATCTAGGCTATTCATTTTAGAACAAACATCTAATGGTTCAGAAATTTGTATATGTCCTGACGCCCTTGAAAGGGTTTTAGGCCTACAAATGAATCAATGCAAGATTAATATTTGGCATTTAATGAAGATAAATATTTTCAAGATATTTGGACAGCTGTTCGAAAAAGAAGTCTACTCTGCCAGCTCATTGTCAGCAAAACTCTAGGTTCAAGCATTAAAATAGGAATGTGATAGGGTTAAATTCAAGCATGGAAATAGATACATATTGTTCTCAACTACTACTAGTTTTAATTGATTTCAACTACAGGGTTGCCACCATAGTGAGATGACAAAATTCATGCAGAATTCATGGTTTTCATTCGTAGTTTGAAAAAATTCATAGTCAATACGCTCATACAAGTTGCGGCAAAAAAAACCGATCTATTTTATGTAGCACACTGTTCAGCAACATGTCGTCTGAGAGTGGTGGGGTTAGGCTTGTTGGAAAGCCTACACGATGCCATTATCTGTGGTCATAGAGCAGTGTTCACCTGAGCATCGTGCTTTTGTTATCGAGTCAAATTTAAAAAATAATGATTCATAATGAGTCATTACAACTCAGCGGCAGTTTGGTGAATTTTTTTTTTATTAGGGCAACGTTGATTCCGTCATGTGGCACAATCATGTGGGAGACAATCAACTATAAAACAATGGTTTCTGCGTTCAAAAAGAAGCTGACAAGCCGTCCAAAGTCAGATCGGACGTCAGACAACTAACATTCGATAGAGTCCGTGCTGCTGTGGAAAACAGTCCTCGTATGCCCGCTTGAAAACGAACATCATCTTTAAACATGTCTGACCGCTCGGTTACACTAATTTTGAGTTTGGTCTCGTTCACCCGGCCAAAAAGTCCTGTTTTCCCCCCCATATGAATGTCATGAAATATCCTGTGTTCTAGTTTATCTTGTTACACAATGTACTTATTGGTTTTATCACAGATTATAGACACAACTAATAGTTTATTGTCTGTGGTTTTATCCACAAAGCTAAAAACATCAGGCGTGAGAGCCAGAAATTCAATTTTATTGTTTTATTATGTTCCCCGTTTCAATTTCGTGCATGGTCTACAAACTTCTATTTTTGTGATTAAAGTCCCCATACCCCTGTACTCATACGCGGGGGTAGGCCACCTAATGATTTTTAAAACCATATACAGTCAAAGATCTCATACATCGGAAGACTTAGCTGACATCAGCATCTAACCCAAAATGAATTGGAATGAACTAAGCAATTGTTTCTGAACGTGGAAAATTTTAAATACTCGTCTCCAAATGGTATTCTCTCTTGGTGTTCGTTTTACTTAACTGTTTTTAAATATGAAATTTTGGAAAATTTAATGATACTAGTAGAACAATGTTTCCTGATTTTGAAAATTCATGGTCCAATGGAGAAATTCATGCATAATCCATGCCTTTTTTCATGGTCACAAGAATTCATGCATAATTCAAGCTTTTCAAGGTTTTCATGGCTGGTGGCAACCCTGAACTAGGCCTACGGTACGTTAGGTTGTGTTCTGACCTGGAGGTAGGGACTGCTTCAGTTTCTCTGCCTTCTCCTTGTCTCGGATAACGAGGGTGTAGAGGAACCGGGAACACCTCACCTTGAACTTGGTGTTCTCAGGATTCTTCTTTATCTTAACCGCTAAAACAGAAACAAAAACACTTTTGAAACCAGCGAACACATAACAAAATAGAAGCGCTACTCAGAGCGCAGGAGCGTGGCAGTCTGACTAGCCGATGAAACGGACAAAGATGGCGGCGCTAGCCTAGTCCCGGCGTCTGCAACGCGCTGGTCCTGCTATGCTTCGAGTCAGGGTTGTTTACATAGGCTTTGTTTAGATGTAAAAATACTTTTGTATAAAAATTACTTAGGTTTTTCTGGAAGTACATTGTCGTATTAGTATATTGTTGGAAATATCTTAAAGTAAATTGATTGTTTTACTGTATTATTGCCGACATAAAATTTATCTAATGAAAACCTTAACCCTTAAGTTCCTATAATGAATTATTCCCAACTGATTAGACAAGCACAAATTTGTTTAATCAGAGTTTACTTGCTATTTCCAAAGTAATGGTTTAAGAATCGTTTAGGTTGATGTTAGCCTCCGGATTACCAATAAACACAAACATAATTACTCTCAGCATGTACTCTGGATGGATAAAAAAAAAGAGTAAACTATAATAGATATTATAACTGGTCTTAATTTAAGTAGTGTTACACGTTACGAAGTAAATTATTTATAAAAAAATTATTGAATAATTTATGAAGAAAATAATAATAATTCTTTTGAGTCTAGAATCAAATAAGAGATTAATAAATCTTAAGTTATTGTCATTCTTTCTGTACTGTAGCTTGAAATACATTAGAGGTAAGTAACCTGCCTGCTCTACTGGTCTCACTTAAATGCGGCTTCAGGCTGTGTATTGATCACTCAGGGGTTGATTTTTAAAATATCGATTACACAGTAAAAATTTGTGATTTTTTCTCGTTTGTATTAGAACAACTACCTGTTGTTACTACTGTTACTACCTGTTGTAAATTGTAATCGTAGGCATATGGTATAAACTATTCGACCTATTGTTTGGTCCAAAACATAAAAAGTCAATACTTGGAAATGTAAATGAATTAGGGGTGAACATTGTACAGGGATGTCCCGTTAATCCTTATGTTACTCCGAATGGATTTCATTTGCAATTTCTTAGATTTCCCTTTTACGACAGCCCATTCCAGTTTTTGGGGTGTCGGGTCACTCGGGTTAGTTCACCCGATTTATTGACCTTCAATTTCAACTTAAATATTGTTTTGATTTTACGTGGCAATGGCAAAAGAGAAATTCTTTAACACACACAAAAGTATGGTACTACTAATGATTAAACTATTTTTCGGAAATTACTAAATGGTTGTAATTTATTTTACTTAGTTAGTCATCAGTTTAGGCTTATTGAAATATTTTTATACAAGACAACCATAATACTAAACGTGTTGTTTAGTTTTAACAAATTAAAAAATATTAAATGAATGAATTTATTTCCTATATTTCAGAACACTGTATACAATTATAATTGTTGAAATATTAAAACTGGTCTTTATTCAAGTAGTGTTTCCAGCTGTAAAATACATTATCTATCTATATAAATAAAATTAGAGTTTTGTCTGTACATTGCTTAGAATAATGAACTTTTTGGTTATTTTTACATTTCATAGGTCAGAGAAACCGAATCAAACCTTATCTCAATTTCTGTCTGTCTGTCTGTCTGTCTGTCTGTCTGTCTATCTGTCATTCTCTTGGTAACGCTAAAATACGCACTTTATTACAACTACTCCTCAATAACTATAGCACTGTCCCGCCTGAAACTTATTTTCCAAATACTATACATATATGAGATGGTTTTAGACGTATTTCATCGAATATGAGACAGTTAGATATTTAACAGTAAACCCTTGAAAATCAAGTTTTTGTCGATTTTTGACGTGGAATTTCTGGAAGCCCATGTTAACCTTATGAGAAATGAAATTATTGAATCTTAACAGCTGTTTCAATTAAACAAGTTGGTTCTGTTCTGTGATGTTCAATAGCATTAAAGTTACAAGGATTACCAACAGGGTGCAGCACTAGCACTATTATTTCTTTTACATTTATGACAACAGCTAATTTGCAACCTGGAGGCGAGTGAGCGTAGCGAACGAGCTAACCTGAAGGCAAGTGAGCGTAGCGAACGAGCTAACCTGAAGGAAAGTGAGCGCAGCGAACGAGCTCCAACATACAGGTGAGTGAGCGTAGCGAACGAACTTCAACCAGGACGTGATTGAGCCATGCAAACGAGATCAGATAGTAAAAATAAAAGTAAGCCTACCGTTATAGGATCGACCGGCAGACACAGAGGTAATTTAACCTTTTATTGATTGTCATACCGATCCGGAACAACAAAAAACAACATAAAATGAAGCTATGTATAATAGTTTGGCCAGCATATCTTAAAATATGCAAACCAACTGCTGTTCGTTATATAAGAAGGTTTCAACTGAATATTATAAGATCCCCGTGCGTAGAACGGGTACACAGCTAGTTTATAATAAAAAATAAACTGATACTTCTAGAATCAAATAACAAATATTGTATCTGCCCGCTGTAAAATATGGGGCAAATTCAGTTTGAGAACACATAAACAAAAAATACTTGTACTTAAGGTAACGCTGTTATACTGAAGAGTTGGTGCGATGGCGATAACCTACATCCTGTTGAGAACTAGTCAAGTGATTGTTCTTTTACAAAAATAGTACACATTTCTCAGGATATGAAATAGACAACAATCATTTTTGTTTAGTAATTAAAACGATTGATCAAATATATTTCAATGTTAAGAGTTCGCTACTACTGTAAAATAAGTAACGAAAGTCTTCACAAAAATCAAGTCAGGCAACATCTCAATAAAACTGTATTTTTTCTGGGACAATAAATTGAGTGTAATTTTACAAATATTTGGGAAGTTTTATTTAACTTACATAATTAATTATCCAATATTACAGTACAACAGTATAAATAAAACATGTAAACACTGCACGCTAAATTTATAGACAACGGCCCGGCGGGGCAGCGGGCGTGGCGCGGAGCAGCGGCAATGGACCCCTTTTGTACCTGATATTTTTAGAAAACCACGCACGATAAAAATTTTTGGTGAATCGGATAGCCTAGTTAAATTTGGTTATTTATCCACAACTTTCCCGCTGACGAAATTACTCTGACCAAAAAATAGGAAAAAATTTCCTCGCAATACAACTTTTTCATGTCTGAATGTGAAAAATTAAACTACATAGGCCTAAGTAATACAAATATTTATAAATCAATTACTATCATAACTAATAATTTTATATTACCACCATCGTTATCCTCAGTATCAGATCTACAAGTGTGCAAAATTTCAGCAATTTTTGTCAACTATTAATGTTGTTTATGATCGTGTATTTTTCGTGGGGTTTTTAATGCGAACTGTGCTCGCGGGTCTTGGATTCAGGCTGTATGACGGACCAAGATGGCGGATTTGGCCACACTTTTAGTGTATTTGGATAAACGCCGTGTCCTCTCTATTATTATTATTATTATGTGCTCCCTGATTGAAACTGCATTAGGGACTGATAATTTGTGACCAGCAACTTTCATTTTTATTCTCGATTTTAGTAATTTTAACGTTTACGCAATGATATTTAAGCCTAACTAGATCTGTACTCATCTCTATTAAATATTGATTAGATTGTGATTTTGCTGATATGCAGTTAACTAACTTTAGGTAGGTAATTTAATCAAAATATAAAATTGAAAGCCCTGTCATTCACCGTATCACCAATTCTAAATCTCCCTAATAGCTAGAAGGCTGAGATTTATTATAGGTCTACTCATTATTCTGGGTAAAATATGAAAGTTCAATTTTAATAATGATTTCACTAAAGGGTTGCTCCCTTAAAGTCCTTAAAATCCCAATGATAATCTCAGCAACATTCAATCTTGCCATGTAAATTGTTAATCATAGGCACATGTCATTTGTTGGAAAATATAAATGTATACAGTAGAATCTCGATTATCCGACCTAAACCGGGCGCGGCAAAGGTTGGATAACACGGAAAATGACAAAACCGACGTTCGCACTGGCGCTGTGATTGCAGGATGTGTTGACGATCGCATCACGAGCGTTGGGACATGTTGACGATTGTTCCGTGATCACAGGAGATGTTCAAGTTGAAGCCGTGCCCAGGAAAGTCGGATAACCGAGACTCTACTTTACCATTTGTTTAAAAATGGTCCTCCTACATAGCATATGGAGAAAGTAGCCTATTGTTTAATCCTCAAAATTTTTGAGTTTTGTGTTGATATGTCCGTTTTGGTTTCCTAAATTTAAGTAAAATACTGTATGCAGTATGCATTCAAACGGTCCATTTTAACAAGTTTTTGGGACGTCGGTTTAACCGGAAAACCTGGTACTGGACTCAGTCCCGAAGAGTCCGGATAATAGCTAGACTCTACTGTAGGCTGGCTACAGACCATGTGATGCCATTTCGTGGCATCGGTCAAGTGCCAGGATACAAGTCACCAGCCGTACACGTCACAAAACTGCCTTGGTATGTTTTAAAAGATCATATCAAGGGATATTTTCTTTCTAAAAAAAATGGGGTTGTTGTGCCACTGATTACACAAATTTAGATCACACAAACTTTAAGAATGTAACACATCTAGTATAATTTTAACAAAAGTGTTTTTGGCTTCTGGGAACATCAAGATAAAATAGGGTAGGCAGTAAATCAGTCCCAGGTCTAGGTCATACCATACCACCTCTACGTTAATAGAGACTTCATCATAGGGAAATTTGCTTAGCATTCAATATACAGATTTTAAGCTTAATAAGCTATAGGCCTACTTAACAGTACTCACATTTGGCGTCTTTCCTTCTTGCCTTCAGCAGGAAGTCCTTAATCTCCTTAATTTCCCTCGGCTGCAAAAATTACATCAGGTTAGCTTAAGCCTATGAAGTATACTTTGACAAACAGCAAGGCGGGCAAGTTATTATAAGCTTGCTTGCTCCAGCCTTAGAATTAACGGTCAGTTATTTTAAGGCCGACCACGGCCGTTTAACCTTTACAGAATGTCCGTTTAACCTTTCCAATAATGGTTAAGTTTAATGGGGTTGAAGTTAGATTTACCCATTTTTGACTCTTAAAAAATGAAATTTCACAATTACTTTCCAGAATAAGTTATTTTGAAGAGCTTAAAAAAGAAATAATTTTGCATAATGAAGCCCTGTTGTAGGCCTATGCCTAACGGTTAAGGAGATAATTAAAGAACTTTCTTACAAGGGAGAATAAATAGGGAACTGTTGTAACTTAGTTTGCTTGTTTATGGACGTATTACCGGACGTGGATTAGGCGTCTGGCAGTTACTGTCATAACCTAACCTAGCCAACCAAACTTGATGATAGTGAAAAAATCTAAAATGAATGTTAAATTCTGTTCATAAAATAAAATTATAAATGCCAAATAAAATTCTAACATAAGATGTACCTACAGTTATGAAGAAATGGCATTCAAAGCAAATTCTTTAACAAAAAGTTAATGATACCGATGGGTTTCCGAACCAAGGACCTCTTGTATATCAGCCGAGCACTCTATCCACTACACCACGAACACCAATACCTGTAGGCCTACATCGTATGGTTGTGAAAATGGCGTTCCGGGCCCCCACAACCCGGTGACGTCACCGCCGGACTTCTAATCCACGTCCGGTTACCGGGCGCGTATCCTCTGTGTTAGATAAAATCTGGCAATTTTGTTTAAATTAGGCCTATCAACATTTAAATAAAAACACTCCTTAATACCTTCCCTGTAGCAGCAAACCTAGGTACTCATTAAAATTTATGTTGTTCACTTAACTTAAATAGGCTAGGAAAAAAATATGACAAATTTCAGGGAATATTTTAGTAGGCTAGAAATCTAGCCAGGTAAATGGAAATTCGGTTAGTTGGGCTACCCTTATTATGAGAACATAGCCTATATTAGTTTCTCAAATTAAAATAGCCTCTAGACATAGTTTTTAATTAAATTCTGCAATTTGATAAAAAACAGCTTGATGCAAAGGTGTCTCTGTTGGACGCTCAGAAGGTTATGTAACAGTATAAGTTACAGTAATGACGACAGAGACATTCAAGAATTTCAGTAGGCCTAACATAACTTACAGGTAACTTAAACAACATTTAAACAATCGGTGTTCAGCCTAGGCTATGTTTAGTTTTGGCGCCCAGTAGGCCCAAACATTAGTTAGGGCAATTTCGACACAATGTTAACATCTAAAAATCTAGTTTCTGGTTCAATGTACTTAAATTGGCTGCACTTTACTTCAAGTCCTACACTCATTCGAATGAAAATATTGATTAATCGATTGTTTCATTCGATATATCGTTTGATTTGTTAGGTAAGGTTAACCTAACCTAACTAACCAAACGATAGGCTATATCGAACGAAACAATCGATTAATCGATACATGGATCAATATTTTCATTCGAATGAGTGTAGGACCTAAAGTAAAGTGCAGCCCTTAAATTAAGTTATAGCCTAGCCTACTAACTTATAACTCAAGTTCTCATAACTCTAGTCTCCTTATAGTCAAGTTTAAGCATTATCTTAATCCTCAAATTAATAGGCTAGATAGCAGCATAGCCTATGACCCAAAAAATGTTTAACCCTCCGAGTGTCCCTTGTTTTGGCCTTAATGTCTGCCTATTTTTAGCTCATTTGCAAGGTTTTATTTAAACGGATCTGAGAAGCTTAAAAACAATGTTAATTGTACTGTTCTATATACCATTTTGTTTGGAAAATCATGGGCTTCAATATTGGTAATTCTGAGCAATTACTTGGTCAACCCCAATTTTTTTCATATTTTACTACGGTCATCAGGAGGTTCTCAGAAAGCAAGAAACATATAATTCAAGCCCCGCAAGGTTAAGTTAGGTTAGGTTAGGTTAAGTTAGGTTATTAATTAACCTAACCTAACCTAACCTAACCTAACTTAACGTAACGGTACTGTTACAATTGGCCTTAGAGATGTATTTGAGACTAAAAAAACATAATAAGTTAGGTTAGGTTAGGTTTAGCCAAAGCCATAACGTTACCGTCACATCTGGCCTTCCGCGCGTCTCCCGCAAGCCACTGTTATCGCTTGGACTTTGAACCTTCTTATCGCTCTGCAACCTGTACGATGGCCTTGCGGGCCTTGAATTATATGTCTCTTGTTCTTGCTTTCTGAGAACCTCCTGATGACCGTAACTAGTAAAATATGAAAAAAATTGGGGTTGACCAAGTAATTGCTCAGAATTACCTCAATATTATAGGCCTATATAAAACATAAGGAACATTGGGTTAAAAAAAAATTTTTAGGTAAAAAAAAAATATTTTGGAAAATTTAAAAAAAAAAATAAGTTCGCGCTCAATGAAATTGTATAAATTATAGGCCTATAAATATTTGAAGCCACTTTGTTCTAAATTTTATGAGGATTACAAATATATAATCATATAGTGAGGTAAGTTATCAAATGAATAAATTATGTGTGAAAAACAGATTTCAGTACATTGCGTTTAGCTAAGAATGCATAGCCTAACCATAGCTAGGAATCTGGCTGATAATTTACATCAATATCACTACCTACTTCTTCAGGATCATCAACCAGCCCTTCAAAATCACTTAAATCTTCTTATAATGCACCACGTATATCACTACTTTTGATTTTTAACACTAAAACAATGATAAACATAATAAAACACATCAGTCATCAGTCCGAGGATAACCAAGCTATTTACAAATACGCACGTCAGCTGTCTGCTACAATTACAATCGGCTCAGAGAACATACAGCGCTGAGACAGACCTCTGGAGAAAGCTTAAATTTTAAGGAAAAGAACGATACCTAACTCGATCCAGTTCAATCCGATTCAGTCAGTCATAGAGCCTTTGCCGTAAACAGTGTTCGTGAGTCGCTGCAGCGACGCATGACACTCGGAGGGTTAATATGTGGAAGTAACAGTTGCACTTTACATTACGTCCAACACTCATTCTAATAAAAATATTGATTATTCTATTGTTTCATTCGATATATCGTTTGATTAGTTATGTTAGGTTAACCTTACCTAACTAACCAAATGATATAGGTAACTTATCGAACAATCGATAAGTTATACCAATCAATAGGCCTATTTTCATTCGAGTGGAGTGTTAGTTAAGTAAAGTTCAGCCGACGTAACTTATAGGCCTATAACATTTACATAACTTGATCTAGGCCTAAACGAAATAAAAACATTGATTATCGATGTTTTTGCCCTGAAAACATCGATGTTTTCCGATGTTAACATTGATGGTCCCAAAAGGAACTTCTAATTAATGAATGACTGACATGATGAATGTACTTTACCATGACTCACACAACAACTTTGGAACTATTTAATGATAGTAACATAAATGAAATAAATAGTCTAATGATAATACAATAGCCTACCAGGCTAGGTGTGATTGATAATTCGACTCACCATTTTTGAGGTTAGATGAGCAGGCAGATGTATCTAACCTGAAATCAGACATCAACTATATTGTTTAGGGTTAAAATAAAATAAATTGCGGTAGCTTATGTGTTAACGTTAGATAATACTAACTTTTAACTTATTTAATTCAAGATTAAACTCGATGAAATAACTTCCGTACCAACCTGTCAATGAAGATTAGTTCTAAAAGGAGGAAGCTCAGGAGTAAGCAAAGACATGTAAACAATTGTTTTACAATACATGCATCCGGTAGCGCATATATTATACTCAAAGACACCTAAACTATAAACACCACCTAAAACATGTATATAAAACAATCATATCAAATGTACCTTATTGCCATATAAAACACAGTAACTTGCATGGCTTGAGTCACAATATTCAAATACATAAATAACTCCATACATTATTTAACATTACACTCCAGTAACAAACCTCTTTACCACCGATTTTTAACATTGTTTTGATATAGCAACAAGACACCCGAGTGTTTAGAGTGCTCGCCTTCTATTCTGAAGGATTTCAAGCGAGATCATTTCCAGACCCAGATCCTATTTTAATTTATAATTATTATTAGGTATTCATTGAGATGGGGACGCCTCCTAGGTGCGTATTTTAACTCAAATATAAGTGATAGATGAGTGTAGAATGGTGTGTGATGATATGTGTAGCTTTGTTACTGACTAAGATCAGCTGTTTTTATTAGGTGGTTCTTGCCCTTAGGAGAGGGTTTATCAAAAAACTTATATTTTTCAGTGGAGTTTTTAACGTACATCAAGACTTTTCATTCAAATATGGGGTTGATAGGTGCACGGCTCAGGGTTGCAATTTTCTAAAACACCAGTCTGGTGGTGCCACAACGTCGCACCATGGTTTCTTTATTATCGGACTGTTCACATTTTGGAGCGACTGGCAGGGCCACTGGTCCAGCGGGCATTACTCAGTCTACTAACAAGCTCACTTATCTACTCTTTTTAAGTGTTTTTAAGTGTGTCGAACAGAGTGTAATAAATGCCTTTGCTGAGCCTAGGCACTAGGATGTCTCCTAAACTGCCTGATTCTTCGCCTCCTTGTTTTTAACAGGAGAACAAGTAGAAGGAGCTCCGAACTGCTGAAAGCCATGTTTGACACTAGTGTTGTGGTGAATTCCGCGGTTTGAGCGAGCTACGAATGTGTCGCGCGACTAGTCTCCAGGTTCCAAAACACTGTGGGCCACCGGCGGCTACGCCGGCGGCGCCGCTAGCTTCGCCACATGTTGCTCACGGCTAATAGGGGCCTTAGACAGGGATTGTGGTGTCCTGTAATCCAGCTACTAGGAGGTCACGAATTGTGGCCATGCACTGTGGATGCTAAACTCCCTGGTGTAGATTAACGTCCGCACTAGCGAGTACCATGACTACCCGCAGTCGCAGTGCTATCCTGATAATTAGACCAATTCGTTAGTTACAAGGCCAAAATGTGGTTCGGAGTCCACTATAAACTGTAGGTCCCTTTAGCTACCATTGGCTCTATGGGCTATTAATTAACAGCTGTGTCTAAAACTTCGGCCTTAGTCACCAACAAGACTACCTACCTACATAAGATCGCGCCATTGCCATTCATCCTATACACTCATATTTGGGTTAAAATACACACCTTGTGGCATGACCGATTGTAGTGGCCTATTGATTGACTGAGCTTGTTCTAGCGAATTTAAGGAATGAGCTATTACCGTTGGTCTCATGGTAAGACCTCCAATTTACTTTTTCATTTGAGGTCCACAGAGGCCAAAAACACCATCCTCAAATTCATATATATTATATACTAGCTGTGTGCCCGTTCTACGCACGGGGATCTTATAGTAGTCAGTTGAAACCTTCTTATATTAAGATTAAGAAAAGCAGTTAGTTTGCACATTTGCAGATATGCTGGCAAAACTATTATATATAAACCTTCGCAAATACAGTATCTGACAGTTCAAGCCAAAATAAATGCTTCGCAATTAAATGTCACCCGGATCGTTATGGTCCATATGTCCAATGATTAAACTAAAAAATGTTTTATAGATCCATGAAGCGTAGCCCTAAAGTAGGCTTATAATTGAAAGTTACTTTCCACATCGGTTAACTTAAACGTATTTAAAGTACTACCTCAACCTCGCCATTTAACACTTTATTCCGGTTGACATTTTCAGTATCAAAGGTGCTCTTGTCCATTCCGTGAAACACTGAGAAATAAGGACATTAATGCGTTACCAACAGACATACACACAACAATCCAAAAAAGGCCACGAACTATTGATACATAAACAATATAAAGGCGTTAACAATTCATGATGGTTTGCCCAACAAATGTTTTACTCAAATAGGTTATATCATTTTCTTAGCATACCGGGTAAGCTAAGATTTGGAATCCAGACAGAAAAAGCAAATAAACTTATACAGAGTTAAGACATCACTTAAATTGAATACGGACGGCTCTAATAAATAAGGTGCAACACCAACGATAACTAATTTGTAAACTACAGTGATGTAGTTTACACCCCCCTCTAGACACACTTTGAAAACCGTAGTACCGTAGTTATATTATTTTTTATTTAAACTTAATTGTGCCACTAGTTTTTTTTTTCACATGGTTTGCTCTTGTAACTCCATTTAGACCATATCTTCACCTCATCATATCTTCTGTTATTTATTTAGATTTTGTTTTGATAAATAATGTAATGTTTGGATGCAACTGCAGTCGACGCACAGGCTCGCTGCCCATGTCGGCTTATTCTTTATAAACATGTACGCTTTGTAAACATATATGTAATGCAAAGGTTAATTTTATGTTATTCTTTAAATTCACTTATGTTTTTCTCCTTTAAATATGATTTGTGTACAAATTTCTGTAAATATTTGTTGGAATAAAGATATAATTCATTCATTCATTCATTCATTCATTGTGTTGGTACCTACGTAAAAATGATTCTAGCAGCTACCTACGGTTCTAAGGAAAAGAACCAGTACCTACGTAAGAACCTACCTAAGAACTATAGTACATCCGACCAATTAAATACATTAATATCCCGAGGTTATTGATCTCTTGCTTTTGGATTTTCTCGTAAAAAGTTATAGCGTAAACTTATCGGTGTCAGTTTGAAAAAAAAAACTTACCCAAACAACTTTTTGTTATTTAATAGATTACGCATTCTCTAAACAATGATTAGTATATCTATTAACATTAACATTAGAAGGAAATGTGACGAAAATCACACAATGTTGGGGTTTTGGTCATTTGTAATTATATTTCTTAAGTAGGTAGGCCATGTATTCTATGGAAAAGTACCGGTATCAAGGATCGTCGTCAAAAAGGTTGTTATGAATCAATATGTAGGCTTACGTACCCAAGATATAAGCTATGGGCCTATTGGCTGTATGGTCCAGCGATTGCATCACACGGTGAGTAGAAACAGAAAGTGACACATTGGAAAAGCGAGTTTAGCACTTCCTCTGTTACAATCACCCACTGCAGTTGTGATTTTTTACTTTACACTTTACACAACCGCCATTGAAGCAATGAGTGGAAACCTTTTTTGTAAGCTATTGGCGACGATCATTTCAGTGTCCCAGCCCTATACAACACTGATTCAAGGTCTTCTTTCTGGTTGTCAAAACTCAAGAAACATTTTATACTCAAAGAATTTCTGGTTCCGATTTGGACGATGTCTAGTTATTTAATTTCATTTACGGTTACACTATAAGACTATATTATTGCACTTGCGATTAATTAAATCCGTTATGTAAGAAAAACGTTTTTAATCTCACTTGGTTGGGATTTGCTTTCAAAACGTGATTCGAAATGGTTGCGGTATTTGTAAACAACATTTGTAAACATATCATTGACAGCTAGAAAAAATAATCTTGATCCGAACAGCTCTTCGTTATTTCATAGACGATTATTATGTGATAAAAATTGAACGAAAATTTGACAAAAATCGCACAAAACTGCATTTTTGAACGTCCGTAATTTCATTTACAAAGTAGTGAGGCTATATTTAAATCACTAAAGACACTCTCGCCAATCCAGTGAATACATTAAAATGACTTGGATTTTGATAGGTACTCTGGTTTTCACGGAGAAGATTGCGTAAAATGCCATCTTGAGTGTTACAGACAAAGGGAAAGACAGACAGACAGACAGACAGACAGACAGACAGACAGACAGAAATAGAGATAAGACTCGTTTCTGCTTCTTTAATGTATAAAACGTAAAAATAACCTAAAAGTATATAATTCTGAGCAAAGTACAGACAAAACTCTAATTTTATTTATATAGAAGATATCATATATATTATAAGTGTTCGTTAACGCGATAACTAAAAAAAATTATCAGATTTTGATGAAATTCGGTAAAAACGTGTCAACCTACGTTTATTCAAACGAATTTGCGAACCTGCATGTTCAGACTATGGGAACGGGGATTTAAGAGGGGTTTTATGGGGTACAAATTGGTTTTTCCCATTTTTGACCCTAAAAACACAAAACTTCATAATTTCTCTCCAAACCATTTTGAAGAGCTTAAAAAATAAATAATTTTGTATATTGAAGCGTTGTTGTATTCCCAACGGTTACAGAGATAATAAAAAAATTTGTAAATTTAAAATTCCCACGTTATTCTTGTGTAGAATAATAATAAACCTATTAAACTGTTGTAGTTTGCTTATATTTTTATATCCTGCATTCACCTCCACTCATACTTGGCTTAAAATACCTACTTTCTACTTTGTATGGTCGCCATTTCATTGAAAAGTATTAAAGTGTTAAAAGGTATTTGCAGCAAACCTAAATACTTACTAAAATTAATGGTATTTAAATAAGAAATGAATCAGACAATCTTTAGGGAATATTTTAGTAGAAATCCAGCCAGGTTCTATGCGGCGGCGGGGGTATTTTATATTTAATACGTTATCTAAAATTACTTAAAAATATCCAACCTGCAACGTCTTGATGTCTATAACAACCAAATCAACTTGAAGTTATTAACCTTAGTTTATAAACAAAAAATACTACAGCCAAATAGTAAAGCACAGGACTACACTGCAAAATATACCATTAGATAAGAATAAGATAAGATGATGACAGTAAACAAAAAACAAATTACTTTTAAAGTGCTGTAATCTGGTTGCCCAAAGTACAGTAGGTAACTTAACTTCGCAGTTGGCAGAAGCAGAGCTTAGTAACACACAAAACATAGCATCAAATCAAGTTACTATTTTACCACATGTGCTTTTGATGGAATATTTTTTAAAGCTGTCAATACAGTAAAAATTATCCTATCCTGAGACCTAACTTTTGTTTCCAGTGTTGTGGAACTTGAGCGTTAAGTGAGCTCTGCAAAATGTGGTGCACTTCCTATCGCCACAAGCCACTGGCAGAATTGAACCTCATACCTATAGTACCAATGGTATGCCCTAAATAAATTGTTACAATGGCAGATGGGGAGATGTATACTCATTGTGAAATATGAAAATCCTTATCTAAATATAATTAAAGTTGGTTCTGTTCTGTTCTATGATGTTCAATAGCATTAAAGTTACAAGGACTACCAACAGTGTGCAGCACTATTTTTTTTTTAAATTTATGACAACAGCTAATTTGCAGCCAAAAGGTGCGTAGCAACGAACTTCAACCTGGAGGCGAGTTAGCGTAGCGAACGAGCTAACCTGAAGACAAGTGAGCGCAGCGATCGAGCTCCAACCTAAAGGTGAGTGAGCGTAGCGAACGAACTTCAACAGGATGTGATTGAGCCACGCGAATACTTATGAAGTTAAACAGGGCAAATCCCGCAGGTACAGCTAGTTAAAAATAAACAGAAAAGCATATCCATCCATGAATAAAATCATTGAACTATATTAAAGAAAATTAAGATGTTTGGTCAACAATTTAAAACTCTACATTAATCAAAAATCAAGTCAATGGTATACATACAATATTAACAAGAGAGTGCAGGAGGAACATTTTTCACATTGGTGTCTTGCTGGAATGTGATAGGCTATAAACATTAGAAAATTAAATAGCAATTTCTTCTTTCATTATTGAATCTATGACATCATTGGTAAGCTGAAGTGAGCCTCCATGCATCTTCTTAGGATTGGTCTGTTTGCGATAGCATCCCCTCTTTAGAACGTATGCCTAATAATCGCTTCTACATGTCATTAAACTTATTTTGGCTTTATGTGATAATGGAATTTTTTATAAGTTTAACTTTTTACAACCTTTTATGTGGATTTACCTTTATTTTTTAGCAAAGTGGTGCTGTGACAGCTAAGTTAACTCCTTAAATGTTTAGGCTTTAACAATGATGAAAAGTGTCAAATAACAATTAACAGTAGAAATAGCTTTATTTTTCATTTTAAATAAACTTTCTAACACATTACAGAATTACACATAAATACATTATGGTGAACCAGGTTCATCCGTAAAACAACAATTGGATTTAGCCTAGTTAAAGTCAGGTTGTTTTTCAATAACCTTTGGAATTAAAAGTGGCAGATTTAAAAAACCGATTCAAACAAGTTAATAGTGCTGAATCACAAAATTGATACAAATTCCGAATTGTCTTTTTATTATAGAACTAGCTATGTTCCCGTTCTACGCACGGGGATCTTTTAGTATTCAGTTGAAAACTTCATATATAAAAACAGCAGTTGGTTAGCATATTTTCAGATATGCTGGCAAAACTACAGGGTGGGGCAGCATAACTTCCTTTTTTTAAATGAGCGCCATTTTGTTTGTTCATGTCATAGCGAAGAGCTAGCAGTCTCGTTCGAGAGGCGAAGCTATAAAGTTTTGTCCTTGCACAGTTTAGTCGTCATTATGCGTGGGAACAGTGAAGAGCGCGCGTTTGCCGTTCAGGCCTACTTTTCGGGTGGATGTTCAGTGATTGCAACCCAGCGCGCCTTTCAGAATCGGTTTAATTTAGCCCCGTTGGCCCTTGTACCGGACCGCAAATCAATTGTTATGTGGTTCAATACGTTTAAACAAACTGCAAGTGCAACAAAACGAAAAACTGGAGTCCCATTAGTTCACCTGCCAACATTGAGGCAGTGACAGCTTCAATGTTACAAACACCAAGACAGACGCTCAAACAGAAGCGTGTTTTTGTCTTATGCGCTCAAACATTAGTCTCCACTTGGACTTTCCAATCGTTCTGTAACGAGAATTCTCCATGATGACCTACATTTCCATCCATAAAAGATGGTGATTGAGCAGAAACTGTCAAAACGCCTTATTTGAATCAGGGGCGATTTGCAATGGCTGGCTCAATCTCCCGATTTGTCCTCTTGCGACTTTTTCTATGGGGTTTTGTGAAGTCCCGCGTTTATGTGGACAGCCCAGGGACCCTTCAAGATTAAAAAAAAAAACAAGATCCAGGAAGAAATTGCCAACATAACGCCTGCTATGCTTGAAAGGGTAATGGCAAACACTAGAAATCGCCAAAAATCGGTATACTCAATGTATCTAGAATGGGGGACAACACCTTCGTGATTTACTCTTCAAAACTACGTAAAACAAAACTTTAGGAATGTACTTACATTGTAAAAACCAAATAAAGTTTGTCTGACTCATACAATGCGTTTTATTAAGCTTTGAAAAAAGGAAGTTATGTTGCCCCACCCTGTATTATACCTAACTTCATTTTATGTTGTTTGTTGTTGCTCCGGATCGGTATGACAATCAATAAAAGGTTAAATTACCTGTGTCCGCCGGTCGATCCTAATGTATCCTATTACAGGAGATGCATTTCGGCAAAATTAATTCGCCATCATCAGTCCTAGTATAAGGTCTTGAGCTTCCCCATTAGGTGCGTCTTGGAATTTTTGAAGCACATACACGCACTGTACACTATTATACACATGGCGAATAAAACATAAATACACGGTCGTAAGCCGAGTCTCGACTGAAAACGCTCATTTAAAAAAATGTAAGTTTCCCAGCAATATACAACACTTATTCAAGGTCTATTTCCCGGTTATAAAAACTCAAGAAAAATGTTATACACAAAGAATCCCTATTTTCATTTACTGTTACCCTACATATTATTGCACTTGCGATTAATTAAATCCGTGACGGACGTTTAAAAACCCAATGTTGTGCGATTTTTTGTAAAGTTTTCCCAATGTTTATCACATATTGATCTATGAAATAACAATCAGCTGTTCGAATCAAGATTATTTCTTCTAGCTGTCACTGAAATGTTTACACTGAATGTTGTTTACAAATACCGCAACCATTTTCGATCACGTTTTGAAAGAAAATCCAAACCAAGTAAGATTAAACCAAGTAAGATTATTTTGGTTTGGATTTTCTTTCAAAACGTGATCGAAAATGGTTGTGGTATTTGTAAACAACATTCAGTGTAAACATTTCAGTGACAGCTAGAAGAAATAATCTTGATTCGAACAGCTGTTTGTTATTTCATAGATCAATATGTGATAAACATTGGGAAAACTTTACAAAAAATCGCACAAAATTGGGTTTTTAAACGTCCGTCATTTTATTTACAAAGTAGTGACGCCATATTTTAATGGCTAAAGACAATCTCGCCAACCCCATGAATACATTAAATTGATTTGGAGCTTGATAGATACTCTCGTTTTTCAGAAGGCCGCGTAAAATGGCTCTTGGGCCGTGACAGACAGGAAGACATCCAGAAAGACAGACTGACAAAAATTTATATGAGACTTGTTTCGGTTTCTTTAATGTATACCACGTAAAAATAACCTAAAAGTTTATGATTCTGAGCAATGTACAGACAAAACTCTAATTTTATTTATATAGATAAAGACCTAACCCACAAGTCTCTCTGAGCCAATGAAATAGTTATTTGTGTAACTATTGCGGGAAGTGGCACTTGGCTGCACATGAGAGAAATGCTTACAAGTGCAACAAAGGCAATTTGCGCTCGTGTTACACATTATATTTTTACTACAGTTGCTATAATGCATATAAATAATTAGACTTTCAAACACTGAACAACACGTTTTAGGGTAGGTTAAAGCCAAACGTTGAACGAAAATAAAAAGTTAACACCAAACAACAGGTTAAGTCGTAATATCAAAATTCAAAAGGCTGAGAAACGCTGCACCAGCTGATTCTGTGGTATCTCTAAGGGTTGCCAGCTTATTTCCAAGCGTACATGCAGGGGAACGCGGGGAATGAAGTTCCGGTACCTCTCTTTCGGGAAGATAAAAATATTGGCATGAATAGGTACAAATCACATTAAATAGGTTACAGTTCTGGCACCTCATTTTTTTACAAATCAAGCACTGTGTACAAACATTATGTGCCTAATAAAAGCACACTGTTCAGTGTTGTTTGGTTGGATTACTGGAGTGCGGCAAAAGTAAATAAATGAAAAAATTAGCTACTTTGCGAGCTATAATCAGTGCAAGGAAGCCTGCTTTGTCATGGTAACTGAAGAAAAACAAATTTGTGTTTGAAAATGCTAGTGTCTACACCAGGAACTAGGAGCGCTGCTATCATTGTTATTTTTTTAAAGCACACATTTCACTTGTAAATATGCTCAGCTATGATAGCAATGGTGTTGTGATTTCAGTTCTTTCTCCAAATGCCCCCATGTCTGGCCTAGCCTGACAGCCGGCTGCAGCAGCGCTCCTAGGTTCTCGGCTTGGGTAACACTAGCATATTTAAACGCAACTTTTATTTATAGCTAAGTGAAAGTTCTCGATTATGTCTTTATTCAGTGCTTTTTATACAGCTGAATAAGAACTTGCCACATTATTGGGATGTCATTTGTGTTCAATCAACAATATAAATACTTATTATTATTCTATGGCAACAACATTGGTCGTATTTGCATCAAAGTTACTTAAGGATGTAAAAAAAGTCATAACAAATTCAATGTTTGTTGCACACTTGTTTTAATTAGATAAACTCTTAAATGCTGTAGCGAATTGCCTAAAATTTTTTAGACTATTTGGTGGATGCAATGCACAATACAAATATACGATTTAGGTAATATTATATGAACAATAATATTTTTAATTTCTAATGTTAACTATCTCTTTTGTATGTAGTTATTTTTATAAGTACCTGTAATGACCATTACGCTTTTTTACTCCGATGGCAATCAGTAGACAAGATCACACTTGTTGACTACAAATTCATACATGTAGTCTGAGTCTTGCTTGGTAATGAGATTATTACCAGTAATAGTGGACATAAACATTGTCACTAAAATCAGCAAAAAAGCTTCGGGTTAATGACTTGTTGAAATATATATTATTAATTCTGGTAAGGAAAAACCTATTCACCCCAAACAAATCTTTAAGTGATCTACCTGAAGGTTCAAAAACAGAAGTAACTCTAGCATTATGTACGAGCACAAACTTGTTAAAAGATACTTCAAGAGAGCTATGGGTATGATCATCATCAGGTGAAAATTCAAAGATTTCTGAAAGTAAATTGTTTTTAACAGAGTAAGATCGAATCAAGTATTTTCTACTCGTATCATTATAATCTAAAAATATGAAGTCATCTTTCAAAGTGTTTAAATACAAACAATCAAGCGTAACTTTACATGAAAATACAATTTTTGATGTTAGATAGTTGACAATTATTAACTTTCGTTTGTTCGTGAAAGCTAAAAAATTTTTGATGATTGCACACTCGTAATTCCAAATGTAATAACAATAATTTCTTAGGCAAAATGCAGATGGCAAAAACTGAAGTTGTTTGAAACTGTATACATAGGCTGTTGCAACAGAACTTTTAGTGTGTTTATATAAACATAATACATCTTCACTCAAAGGTGTAGAACGGATTTCCCAAAGTTTTGCAGGTTCATTTTCTAAGGGACATTCTTCTCTTTTTATTATTTCCCCCCTTTTTAGATCAAATATGGTTATTGTTGACGTTTTTGAGCTTCCTGCAATACCTATAATGGAACCATCATTGAAAGATTTGACTACAAAACTATTTAACGTGTCATTGGGATCGAGTTGTATATTGTGATTTAGACTGATACTTTTACTTCCTACATTTACAATAAACACTTGAATACAAGACTTTTGTTTCATAACCAATGTGTCACTTCTAACGGGGTGACAGGACTCCCACATATTTACGTTGAATGACGTGTCCGATTTAATCAGCAAAACTGGTGGATATGAGCCTACATCATAGATCTCTATGGCATTTGAACGCCACATTACAAAAAGTGTATCAGTTAAAAATAAGCTTTGCCCTAAACTTTTATTCACATATAATCCCATTTCTTGTTCGGATTCTTGAGAAATCTGATACTCTTTGGGTGAGTCATTCTTCCAGTTTCTGCGAAGGTGAGTTTCCCTCATGAAGGCCAACCTCCACGGACAGATTGGTGACAAGCTGGACTGTATGTCTTCAGGTGCAACAAAAATAGACTCAGCAACTGACGGTATGTTACGCAGAGGTTCCTCCAACTCAGCATCGCAATGCCGCTTCCACAAAATATCTTGGTTAAATGTCTCACGCCACCCTTTAGACACTGCGGCACAACATCCCAAGTCTTGTGGAGTTAAGTACTCGGAGATTTTCTCCACCATCTCTAGTGGTAGAGATTCCATCCTGCAACCTGGAAATGAAAAAAACATTAGTTTCTAAACTTAAGTTTGATTAACTGCTAAAACTGTTATTTATAGTTTGTATTAAAAAACTTTAAAAAATTGTCTATTTCTCACTCATAAATTTACACATAAGCTACGTGGTGGCCTTCTATTGGTCAAAGATAAAGAAAAAGTTGAAAGTGATCTTAAATTTACAAAAAAAGCTATTAGGAAAATGCTATGACTGGGGAGAAGAGATTCTGGGAACTTTATTAGTTTTTGGACAGTACATTTTTGATAACATAAGAACGAAAATAAGACCGAAAACAGCTCAAGACACCATTACTCAACAAGAATAAAAATACAACAGCAAAAATCAGAATAAAAAAAAACATCCATTATGTTCTGGTAGTATAAACATAAGAAAACTTCCAGACAAAATATAGAAAGAGGTAAACTGAAATGCATTTAAAGAAAACTAGGATAAAAACTACTTGAAGATGCTTGGGAAGAAAAGAAAATTCAAAGATTATTGACAGTTTTGACAGTTTGCAGCACTCTGCACTGTTCTCACGGCCAGTTCAGATTTAGAGCTTAGCGCTAGTAGTGCATTGTTTCACAATTTTAGCGGATTTCCCATATAGGGAATAATCTATTACTGTATTACTCATGGTAAGACCTAGGCCCAGGACCGATTTACTTTTTTGTTTTGAGGTCCCTAGAGGCCTAAAACACCATCCGTTCAAATTCATACATAAGTTATATATATAGCCTATATGTGTCCGTCAGCACGATAACTCGAGCAAAAGTGATCTGATTTTGATGAAATTTGGTACAAACGTGTTTAAACCTAAATTATTCGAACGAGTTCGCGAACCAGCATGATCAGACTATGGGAACGGGGGTTTATGGGGTAAAAATAGTTTTTTCCTATTTTTGACCCAAAAAACATAAAATTTAGCAATTCTTTCCAATCCACTTTGTAGAGCTTAAAAAAACAAATAATGAAGTACCTATACTGAAGCGTTATTATGCGCCTAATGGTTACGGAGAAATTTTCGACAAATTGTAAATTTAAAATTCCCATGTTGTTCTTATGGAGAATAAGTAAACGGTTGTAGTTTACTTATTTATAAACATATTTTGATCAAATTTGGAAAATGCCTTTATTTCTTACTAAACTAACTTAAATGCCTATTAAAATTTTACAAAAAAATTACTTTTTTAGTCTCCCTGTTGCAGCGAACCCAAGTAGGCCCACTCGTTAAGCTATTTAAATAGGGAATAAATGTGATATTTTTAAGAAGACATTTTGTAAATCTAAATAGGCAAATGGAAATTCCCTTAGTCTGCAGGTTTACTGCGGTGGGAGTATATTTTTAAATAATTGTTAATAGTTTAGTAAGAAATAAATGTATTTTCCAAATTTGATCAAAATGTGTTCATAAACAAGCAAATTACAACACACTTTACTTATTCTCCATAAGAATGACATAGGAATTTAAAATTTAATATTTTTTGGAATTTTCTCCGTAACCACTAGGCGCATAATAACACTTCAATATACTAAATTATTTGTTTTCTTAAGCTCTACAAAATGGTTTGGAAAGAAATCGCAAAATTTTATGTTTTTTGGCCATAAAACCCCTCATAAACCCCTGTTCTCATAGTCCGATCATGCTGGTTAGCAAACTCGTTGAATGAATGTCAGGTTTATACCAAATTTCATCAAAATCTTAATCATTTTTCCTCCAGTTATTGTGCTAACGGACATATATATATAACTAGCTGTAACCCGCGGGCTTTGCCCCGTTTAACTTCTTAATTTTCAAGATGATCTCGTTCGCATGGCTCAATCACATCCTGGTTGAAGTTTGTTCGCTACGCACACTCACCTTTAGGTTGGAGCTCGTTCGCTACGCTCACTCACCTTTAGGTTGGAGCTCGTTCGCTGCGCTCACTTGCCTTCAGGTTAGCTCGTTCGCTACGCTCAATTGCCTTCAGGTTAGCTCGTTCGCTACGCTCAATTGCCTTCAGGTTAGCTCGTTCGCTACGCTAACTCACCTCCAGATTGAAGTTCGTTCGCTACGCTCACTCACCTTTTGGTTGCAAATTAGCTGTTGTCATAAATGTAAAAGAAATAATAGTGCTGCACCCTGTTGGTAATCCTTGTAACTTTAATGCTATTGAACATCATAGAACAGAACCTACTTGTTTAATTGAAACAGCTGTTAAGATTCATTAATTCCATTTCTCATAAGGTTAACATGGGAAACTCCAGAGCCACTGGGGCGGAGCCCAGAGGTCGGAGGGTAAAATCCTGTCTTAGTGAGCGTCTACTACCCAAAAGGAAGATGCCTGCCAAGTTTCAGGTTCCTAGGTCTTATGGTTTCTGAGATTTCGTGATGAGTGAGTGAGTCAGTGGCATTTTGAGCTTTATATGACTGTCCCAAAAGTCCCGGACCGGTTTAATATTTTCTAAACTACACCAGATAAATCAATAAGATTTGGTACATCAACACCACACCTAAAAATCTACTTTTTTAAGGAAATATAAATTTTCTGTCATATCATGGGGACGTCCCGCAAGGAGTCAGAAGGAAATCTTACATAGAAGCATAGGTTGACATGTACATCAAATTAAAGGTCTTTACTAGCAGAATATAATGCCGCAAATTTGAACTCAAACGGACAACCGAGCCAAGAATGACAGTGGTTCAAAGATTCATTTAATTTGCATTGCTATTATATAATTTGCTATTGAACATTATAGAACAGAACCAACTTGTTTAATTGAAACAGCTGTTAACATTCATTAATTCCATTTAAATATGAGTACTCATAAGATTAACATGGGAAACTCCAGAGCCACTGGGGCGGAGCCCGAGAGTCCGATCAGAATAAAAACAGCTTAGTTTTCCTAATTAATGCCTAAAGAATCAGTGTACCAAATTTCAGCCTCCTAGGTAAATGGGAAGTAAGAGAGTTAGTGATGAGTGAGTGAGTGAGTGAGTGAGTCAGTCAGTGAGGGCTTTGCCTTTTATATATTTAGATATTTATACTATACTAGCTGTAACCCGCGGGCTTTGCCCCGTTTAACTTCTTAATTTTCAAGATTATCTCGTTCGCATGGCTCAATCACGTCCTGGTTGAAGTTTGTTCGCTATGCTCACTCACCTTTAGGTTGGAGCTCGTTCGCTACGCTCACTCACCTTTAGGTTGGAGCTCGTTCGCTGTGCTCACTTGCCTTCAGGTTAGCTCGTTCGCTACGCTAACTCGCCTCCAGGTTGAAGTTCGTTCGCTACGCTCACTCACCTTTTGGTTGCAAATTAGCTGTTGTCATAAATGTAAAAGAAATAATAGTGCTGCACCCTGTTGGTAATTTTTGTAACTTTAATGCTATTGAACATCACAGAACAGAACCAACTTGTTTAATTGAAACAGCTGTTAAGATTCAATAATTTCATTTCTCATAAGGTTAACATGGGAAACTCCAGAGCCACTGGGGCGGAGCCCGAAAGGATTTTTAAAATAAGAATATGCCTATATGTTAATCGGGAATGTGAGCTATCATCATGCCAAATTTCAGCCCAATCCGACCAGTATTTTTCGCGTTCACTTGTCACAAACATACATCCATCCATACATCCAAACTTTCTCATTTATAATATTAGTAGGATATATTAAATGATAGTAGTTAATAAAGTACAACTGAGCACCCTGAATATTATATTTTGAGTAGAAGTTTTTGTTATATATGTAAAACAATTTGAACGGATGGTGTTTTTGGCCTTTAAGGACCCTGGGTCCCGAGTCCAGGGCTTACCATGAGTTCTACGGTAATAGCTTATATAAAATGGGAAATTTGCTAACACACTTTTACCCTCTCTGTTGCAGCAAACCTAAGTACTTTAAAAACTAATTTTATTTAAATCTATACGGTACTAATATATAAAAATGAGATGGTGTGTGTTTGTGTGTCTGTCTGCTACTTTATAACGCAAAAAGCACTGAACCGATTGAAATAATATTTTGTATGAAGGTAGCTTATATACCTGGTTAACATATAGACCTATTCCTTTTATCATATTCCCCTTGGGCTACGCCACATGGGCTTCCAAAGTTTCAATGTTTACATTTTGGAAGAATGTAAATAGTCAGAAATATTAATTGAAGTCAGCTGTAAATACCATAATTTGACAGTTCAAATAGCAGAGGTTAAGAGGTACAAGTTCTGCTCCAAAGATTCTAAAAGCTTGATAATTTATGAGAATAGTTTGATTAAAATATTTATGAAATTATACTTATTTTCATGGAAACAGAAGGATTTTATACATTACAATGTATACATTTTTGGAATAATTTTGATATGGTAGCTTTTTGTTTACAAATTTAAAAAAAAAGGTTTGGATCAGGATTTTAATAGGTTTTAAAAACTAAGAGATACCGTATGTAGTGATGTAAAATACCTGGGTATTTAGAACTCAGGGTAAATACCCTGGGTATTTATCCCCAGAAATACCCGGGTATTTTGGGTATTTATGAAATTGATTGAAATTAATTCATATTTACCTCTAAATATGTTATTGTTATCATCTTCTATATATAGAATTCCGTAAGTCAAATTTTTGTAAAGAAATTGTGAGTGACTGGATGGCCGTAGAAGGATGGGAGGGGTCTTATTTTAAAGGTCTTGACGTGAATTTTGAGGGAAAACTATTCATTTTTCTTATTTTTTTACCATAAATTCGCAACAGAATAAAACTTTTCCCATTAAAACAACATGGGGTTTAATTTGTTTACATCTTTTGAAATTAAAACAGCTGTGCCACAGATTTGAAAACAGTGATCAATACACACATTTGGTTTACTTTTAGCCAGTCAACTATGAAATGTATACTATAATAAAACTGAAATATTGAAGATTAGTCGGAAAAACTGCATTCTTTGTTTATATTTAAATCATATACTCAAGTTTCATTTTTTCATGCTTTTACGTTATTGTCGTGTTAAAGGAATAAACGACATAGAATAAATATTCTGTATAAATAATCAAAGAGTCGAAATTAAATCTAACTTCTGTTTTGTTTTTATTTTTTAAATGATGTTGTTTTCTTTATATTTCTACACATTTTAAGGTTAAGGTAGTGTAAATATATACAACTAAAATAACCTATAAATGTTATTGGTTCTAAAATGGTGTATTTGCATTCCTTCGTAAGTAAATTTTTTTAGTGCAGTGAATATACAACGTAGAGTAATCATATTCTATCATACTTTTATAAAATCAGCAGGGATTCAAGATGTTTTGGTATGTAGGCTGCTGGATATATATTCTTTTCATTATAAGTACTGTAATTAATATGAACGCCAGGGGAATACCACAAAGGCGGGGAACTGTTCATAGGAATGACAGTGCGCGTAGGAGAGCAAGAGTAGATAATGACGAACTTAATCAAGATATGTTACAACCCCTTTTTAGGAGACCCATGGTAGACGAGAGAAATGTAAAGATCCATGATGCAGGATTATTGGACCAAGAGTTGTTTCAATGTAGTGCTCTTCATTTTAGAGAAGAACTAACGAATAATCATTTTATGACATGTTGCCATAACGGACTTATTAACCTTCCTCAGTCAAAAACTAATGTAGAACTTAAAAGTTTGTTTGAAGAGAGCCCACAACTGTATAAATTCATTCGACAATGCAACAGTGCGATGGCTTTTGCTTATTTTTCAGCCAGTAAAAAAGATATTCCAGGAAAAGGACCATACTGTTTCAAAATTCAAGGACAGATTTATCGTTCAATCTCAGATTTGCTGCCTCAACATGATGAAGACCCCGTGTATGGCCAATTGTACATTATTGACACATCAACAGCAACAGAAATTCGTCAAAGGCGTCGAGAAAATAATGACTTAAAACCTGAACTATTGTCAAAACTAGCTGAAATTCTATTAGAAAATCCATTTGCACAAATTTACAAAAGAGCTTCGGAAGAAATGGTTGTACAAGGTGACAGTGAATTAGAACTTAGGTTTGTAGACAGGATAAATATGGATCGTCGTAGGTATAATAAGCCTACTGCAGATGAAATTGCAGGCGTCTTCAATTCATCTGAAGGCGAACCTCCAATGAATTTTTAAAATTCCAAACATGGAAGCTTTTATTTATCCTCATTAACCACAAGACCAAAGCTACCTTAGTAAACCAGTATTTATTCACAAACAATGATATGTTCGCTGCCTTTTCATGTTAAACCACTGGAGTGATTCAAATTATTTATTGAAAATGACATCAACAAAAGCAAACAAAGAAGAACAACAAACTGGTTTTTACACAAAAGATATGGTGTAGGGATGCCTATTCTGACACATAGATAATGTTATTCTGAGTTTGTTTAAATACCGGTATTGCAAAAAGTTGTTTTACATTTGAGCTTTTTAGGGACTTTTGTCCCTACAAGCCACTAGTTACATGATAAATTAGGATAGTCTATAACACCTTTTACAGTAACTTGAAGCTTTGCTAGTACCTTTTATTGAATGATTTAGCACTTTTTTGTTATGAAATCAAGACAACACCTCATCAGAGAAATAGTAAACCTAAACCTACTTCTACTGTTATTAAATTATGATAGTTAAAATTTGTATTGTGTAAATGGCTTGGAAGGCTAGACAGACCCAGGACCGTTTTTGACCCTGTCAGCGCCCTAGGCACGTCTAATACTAGTGCCCCTATGCAATATATATATAACAGGGTGTACACCGACCGGGAACTCCGGGAATCATGCGGGAGATCTTTCAACCGTGAATTTTGTATTTCTACCTGGAGTTTTCAATTTACCGTGATCGCTCATGACAACAGTGACGTTTCCGTGATTGCGCATGACAACAATGACGTTTCCGTGACCGCGGGAGACAATAATAAATGTCTACACACGGCCGCGAGGGATGATCAGAATTTTCCGCGATCGCAGAAGACGATGATGGTATCTACTATCTACAGAGCCGCAACGGATGATCAGAATATTACCACAATCACGGAAGACGATTGATGTCCACACGACCGCGGGAAATCTCAAGAACTTTGCCGCGATCGCGGAAGACGATGATGATCTCCACAAAACTGCAGGACATGAATAAAATTTTGCCGCAATTGCTGGAGACGATTACCATGGATTCACGACTGCAGGATACGTACGACATCTACAGGACCGCAGGAGATATAATAACTATTTCTACACGGCCACGAGGGATGATCAGAATATTGCCGCGATCACGGAAGACGATGATAATGTCCAAATGACCGCAGGAAAAGATAAGAATTTTGCCCTTATTCGCCGAAGACGAATATCTCCATATGTCCGAGGGAGATGATTACCATTTTGCCACAATCGCGGGAGGCGACTACTATGTCCAAACGACCGACGGGGACGATATGATGTCTTCACGGCCGCCTTCACGGGTGGTCAGAATTTGACCGCGATCGCGCAAGACGAGGATAATGTCCTCACGACCGCGGGAAAATATCAGAATTTTGCCTCATTTGCGGTAGATGATAATAATCTCCTCACGACATGCGGGATACGTTCTTATATTGCCTCGATCATGGAAGACGATAATGTTATGTCCAAATTTTTCGTCCTGCTTTAATTTGACTATGGAGAATATCACAAAACTAAGCTGCATGCAATTCACTTTTGTTTCTACAATCAATTCAATATCTGTAACATAACTACCGGTATGTTTCTTTAGTCAATGTTTTAAACGATGATATATACACACTGATCTGCAGATAAAGATTGAACTTTGAAAAAAGCCCAGTTGGTACGGTAAAAAACATATCAATTATATATGAAATCATTATATAAACTGTTTTTTTCTTTACTACAGTGCCCTAAGTTGTACGATTAATTTTCCTTATTTACTTTATATGTACGTTTTTCAACAAAATAAATGTTTAAGTAAGCTTATCATTTGAAAATTGAATCGTAAGGATACATTATTTCCATCAGGGCGCCTCATATCATTCCTAGCCATATAAGTTAGCATAGCCTTAAAGAAAGATATTTTTTTTAAACTAAGAGTTTCAATTGACTTAAGGGGAATGTACAACAGAATTCAAGATCAAATTTTTCGCTTCAGTGTCCTCTCTGTTGCGAAGCACGGGTACAACAGCTAGTAGGAAGTGATATTTTTAAGGAGACATTTTAGATAAATCCAATCAGGCAAATGGAAAATCGATTAGTCTGCAGGTTTGCTGCAGTGGGGGTATTTTTTAGTTGTGATTGTGTGGTTAAGGGAATAAAGGGGGATAAAGTCCACCACGCGTAGTGGGAAAGAGGCTTTAGGCTATATCTAAGGTTCTCTGAGGAACTGCTCGTTACTATGGCATCTGCATCTGTTGTTATAAGTTAGGTAGCGATAGCTTTGAATCCATTGCCGTGCTTGTCATTAATGTTGAAGTTAATATCACATAGCCTAGGCTACTTGACTCATTGCATAAAACACGCCTACTTAAGTTATAGCCTAAGGACTAGACTAGGCCTACATTGGATGAAAACCCATATAGGCCTTTGTATAACTCGTCGATAACTTAACCCTAAACAACACTTTTTATTGTTGAAAAAGGTGATCAATCATTTTAGCCTCTGGATTGCTTATATGTAATCAATTGATAATGTAAACTCTTACCTTTTAGCAATCCTTATTTTGGTTAGGCCTATCCGATTTTAATTTCGGACCCGTAGGTCTATCTTCAGTCGGAAGTCTAGGGAGACCTAGGTAGGCCTAGGCCTACTTAACTTATAGTAGGGTCCACCCGATGGGTTTTGTAGAAAGTATGTTAAAATTTAACACAATACAAAATCCAGTCGACACGAATATTACCGTATACAAAGATTAGGGGTAAAAACCATGGTTATCAAAAATATCCCACTTTTTGAAAACCATGTTTTTACCCCTAATCTTTGTATAATATTCATGTCGACTGTAGGCCTAATTTGTATCGTGTTAAATGTCAACATACTTTCTACAAAACCCATCGGGTGGGTCCTATTATAAGTATTTGGTCTCCCTAGACTTCCGACTGAGGGTCCGAAATTAATATCGGATAACCACAATAAGAACTGCTAAAGATAATAAGGACTTGCTTAAACAAATGTTTCAAAGGTATTTTCTTGTTTATTAAGATCGTAGGAATAATTTAAAAACGTTATAAAGAAAAGTCCAGAAAGTTCATATTTACCTAAGAGTTTACATAATCAATTGAAAAAGGTGAGTTATTGATAAAATACTTTCACCTACCTTTAATAGGCCAATGTGTTCATTTGGCAGAACCATTAAAGTGTAAAATGCGTTCAATACTTAGGGTATCACATGACACCACTCCATCCAAGGTAAAGTGGTAAAGATAAGGGCCAACGAGAACCGGACAGTTGCAGAGTTTTTAATCCTACCAAAATAACAATATCTATCATCAACCATCAACTCAACTTTTTACTATTAAATATTTTAGGCTAACTTGTTCTGTTTTTTGACAGAGTTAACACGAACGAAACAAACAAACAAACCTGGCTATGGTTTAGGTTAAGTCGTCGTATCGTATAATCAATACTTCTTCTTCTTTTCTAGTTTGCTTATAAAGCTGGCATGGTTTAATTAACCAGGTAGCCACACTACTTCATCAGTAAAATTTTCCCGGGCTTTTTAAAATGTTAGCAGGATGCTAGTCAGCAATTACCAATTTTTAATTTGAATGTCTGGTTAAAATTTCAAAGTCCAATCTGAGTGACGTTAGAACATGAAAGGAATAGCACACCTATGTATTTCCCTTCCACCGTGCAGTAAACCACTACAAGTGAGGATATTTTTCTATCGAGAAGCGTGTGGCACCCCTGCAATAATTCAACTTCCGGTTCCAGTCAGCTGTTAGCTGACAGCCCCTACCAACTACTGTGCACCGCACAGTAAAGCCACAGTGTGCGGTGTTGTGTTTCTGTCTTGTGTGCAGTGGACTGACTGGTGAGTAAACAACCCTTTCATAAATAATTAATTAAAAATAATTATTCTATTTTCATACCACGACCTACTCTAATTTTGTATATTGATTAATGGTAAATAATAGCATATGAGATATTTAGAAACTGGCCTATTATTTTGACAAATACAGTGAATTCAAGAATTAGGCCTACTTTTGGTATTTACTACGAATTTATTGTATTTTATCAAATACGTACTATTAAGCCAAACGAAAGTTGGTTTTTGATTTGCCTTACATTGTTTTATTTAGTCATAAACAATCAAATTAATACTGTACGTTAAAAATCCATTTCATATTAACTTTCCTACTGAAAAACATAGTGTTTTATGTTTACAACTTGTATCTAAAACATACTAGTACATTAATTGTATTTTAAGCACTTTAAAGTAGCCTATAAATTCAATCACAACGAAAAAATGCAAATAAATTTGAAAGTAATCACGAAAATATTATAAAGTCTAAAAATTGAACTAACTTAGATAATTTAATTTTACTAAATTTAATCTTAATTAGTTATACCCCCCATACCACACAATATCAAGATATACAGAAAACGTTTTAGAAAACCGCTGTATTAAATTGTTTCATTTAAAGCAAGTAACTAAATTAAAAATACTCTTGGAAATCCTAAAGGTAAATTAGACAATTCCTATATATAATAATTATAATGTAATAACTAAAACAATAGCCTATACTTGTGTAGGAAACTATAACGTTGTTGCTCGTTTTTGTTGGTTTTTATAACATCTTTCGTAATTCTGGAATCATCTTTGCTGGTATTGAAATTTCCTGAAATATTTAAGAGGAACGAAGAAGTTCATAGTTACAACACAAGAGGCAAACACAATGTGCACCTTAAAAGCCATAGAATAACTTTGATCCAATCAGGAGTTTAAGGATTGGCCAGTAAAGTTTTTAATAGGTCACCAGTTGAATTAAGAAGTTGCTCTGAACCAACCGAATTTAAGAAAAAAATGAAGACCTTTTAATGGAAAAGGCCTTTTACTCTGTTGATGAATTCCTGAGTGATGAAGACATTATAAAGGCCTACCAATCTATCTAAACCAAAATGACGACCACGGCTGAAATGCTACAAGAGGGATACCTTCAAGTATGCAAGTAAGAATGCAAATTAACCGTTTTTATAAACATCAATCACGTTTCAGTTAGGTAACGTTTAACTATTAACGTTGGATATTATAATGATATTATCGTTGTATATTACAAATCCTACTGCATTTGTAATTTGCTAGTATACTGTTTGGCTATGGCTTGTTATAAACATATGCCACAATTATTTTATTTACGTTTTCCTTGTCATTTTGTATAACCAAAATGAATATTTGGCAACCCGTATAAGGCAAATCTACCGGTAATTAGATTGTTGTTATTTAATGGTGTTAATAGTATTTATCTTTTAACAAATATCATTATATTATAATTATTTTCGTGTATTCGTCCTCGCGTAGGTAAGTACTAAATTTATCCGTGTGAGTATCCGTGGAATCTCGCCTGCGGAATAGAGTAAACAATGGAAAAGTTAAATGCAGGAAACAATGTTATTTGTTATTATAGAGTAACTTATTTTGTCGTATTATCTTTGACAGTAGTATGTTTTAGCGCAAAAACAATCAATAAAATTCTTGTTATTACCTGGGGACCGATAGCCATGCCCGGTACTTACAACTCGAAACAATATAAACATACACATTCTGTAAATTGCAACAAATATTTTTATTTCAAACCATGAATATTTAATCGCTAAAATATTGCAAGTTTTAACTCTGCAACAACTAATGCAGTACAACTAAGTTAAGATAAACATATTTTGGACGTACGTTTAAGTGCTACTTTGTATTATAACATTTACTCTTTAAATGAGTTTTGTAGCGAAATATGAGTTTTGGTTTTACTGAGGTAGTGGCTTTTGCCGCTTTCGCAAATCAAGTTTTAAGGCCTGCAACACAGACAATATAATACTTTAATGTATTATGGTTTATTCCATTGTCTGTGCCTGCAAGTTCCTATTTCTAAATCCACCCGCTGGATTTCGAAATAAACTTAACAAACACTCACACAACACATAATCAGGCACAGCTCGTAAGTGCTTTAGAATTTAATACATTTAATTTTTGTGTTTGCTCTTTCTAGGATTTTGATATCGTATTTTCTCGAAAAAATATTTGAAGGCTGGTCTTTAAAGAAGGGAGAACTGTGCTCTTAAACGCATTATTTTATGTTTATGGGTTATAATTTATTTTTATTATTTTTATCCCTAAAATAATTTTTCAAGTAACCGGACGTTTTTTTATTTACATTTACGCTCCGGCCAAAACTAACTATTCCTTTTATTTGTCTTTCATTGCATTCAAATTTTTAGAATGTCTGATAAATTTTCCCAAATTTAGGATATTTTTACATTTATGACTGTGGGGCCGTTGCGACAGGTCTATAGAATAAAATGCTGAGTTTACATGACCGCGTACAACCGTATGTCCGTGGGAATTGCGTGAGAATTTCGAGAGCAATGACCTTGAACATGTCATTCTTTCATTCATCACTGCACTGTCATAGCAAGCATAGGAGACTATGCTGCTGTACGTTGGTCTTTTAAATGGAACGAACCATTGCAATAGCAAAGGTCTTGTGAAGAATCTTGTGCAATGACCTTTTGTATGGGGGGCCTACCGTTTTCCATTAACAAATTCATAAAAAATATCACTGACTAGAGTTTTTTTTAAAATTTTAGGCCTAAGGTAGTTAATTATTGATATAAAGAATCTCATCTGCCATCGCAGTCGCGTTAAAATCGGACTAGCGGAAATGATTATAAGGAACATAATATAAATTGTTGTACAAATATTATAGGCTATTACTTTTGTAACGGATCGGGATTGTGGTTAATGAGGTTGTACAGTTATAAATGAATACCATAATGAACATTTTATAAGATGATTACTAAAAATTATAGCATATATGAAAGAAAATGTTAACAAGAAAGTAATTATTGTAATTACAAAACATACAGTGTGTAAATTAAGTATTGAAACAAATCTGTATTTTTAAAACCGAAATAGATAGAAATATTCTGTTTGTGGCAATAATTGTTAACAAAGGTTCCGCAATTTTTTACATCAAAAATATTGTTTAACCCCCCTAACAGGGTAGGGGGTAGGGGGTGGCTTATTTTTTCAAACAGCAACCCCTATTGAGTGACCCCTCATTTTGAAAGGTTTGTCAAAAGAAACACAATGACGCAAATCCGAGGTGAAAATGGGTGCTTTTTTACAAAATTAAATGTTGGAATACCCGCCATTTAGGCTAGGGGTGAAATATCAACCTCGGGTTTGCGTCTTTGTTTTTCTTCTAACAAACCCTTGAAAATGGGTCACTCAATAGGGGTTGTTATTGAAAAAAATAAGCCACCCCCACACCCTACCCTGTTAAAGGGGTTGAACAAATATTTTTGATGTAAAAAATTGCGGAACCTTTGTTAACAATTATTGCCACAAACAGAATATTTCTATCTATTTAGGTTTTAAAAATACAAATTTGTTTCAATACTTAATTTACACACTGTATGTTTTTAAAATAAAACTCAAAGAAATAATTTACAGGTGGTTAGCTACAGCCACAGGATAAAAGAAGTTGAGGAAAGCTTTTAGGAACAGACTAGTTCCTGTCTGTACAGTGATGTATCTATTTTAAAATTCGATGCTTTTAAGCTTACACGATTAGCATTCTTATTAATTTGAATACACTAACGTGGTGTTAAACAACAAAGATAATCCATGATTGTGTGACTACCAATCATAATCACTGTGTCTAATAACTTTTGCCACGGTCTTAAACTAGACTTTTAGATCAAGGACCTCTGCGTCGAGGCAAATAATACACAAACGGAAATTGCTGTCCTGACCCTCATAACCTAACTTCTTGTTAGCTGCGTCAAATTTAAAGTACAATAGTTTGTGTGTGTTTTTTATAATAATTGAATTCTTGATTCATGTGAACTGGTTATATTTCTAAGGCAATTTAAGGGAGATGAATCGGTTAAAAACATTGAGTTTGAACATAGCCTCCTCTAGGTCGCGGCGTTGATGTGTGGCAACGTCGCATCGGCCGACATATTGCCATGGTAACAGAAATAACAAAAGTGTAAACATAAACATTGCGCAGACGTTCCATTATTAGTGCAACAGCTGTTTCAGTAGGCCGGGGCTGCGGCGTTGCCACTTTTATCTCACCGCAGCCTCGTAGTAGAGGAGGCCATGGTTTGAATGCGTGACTTATTGACTACTTTATATCTATATACGTTTAAATTTCGTAGCCAAATAGCAAATTGGACTCTGAAACAATTGCTCTGAAGACAGAAGCTAGTCGACATCTACGTACTCAAACGGTACCACACATGAAACACAAATTTATACACACTTCATTTTATAGGATGAGAAGTCTACAAAAGCAATATGAAGTAAACTGTAACAGCATGAGATACATTCACTATACGTGTACAGACGTTCTTTCATGGTGTTTAGTGTTGCTTGTTTTAGAATCATTAGCACATACTGTTACATAAGCATGATTTACACTTGGGTTCTTTTGCGCAACTAAGCGACGCGAACACCATAATATATTTTGGGCGCTGCATTTGACTTCTCAGCCTATCGTAAAATAAGAAGCATGTTTTTAAGTATGTTTTTGATGCCCGTATACGAAATTATTGATGGCAATTAATGATTTTCCTCTTATTTTATGATCAATTTTACAATTTATTGTTTACTCGTGATACAGACAACAAGCAATAATTTACAAAATACGGCAGTTTTGATGTTAGTTAAATTAACAAGAATAAAAGTAAATGTAAATACGTACGGAAAATACCTATTTTTTAGCTCTTTCACGACGATGCAAAATCTTTAAAGTGGTAGTAACTTCATGTTTAATTAAATTAAATTAATATATTCAACATGCTACCATTCTTAATTTGTTTCGATCCTTTTTGGACATTCACCTACCATTGTCGCTTTCTTCGTAACATAATACTAAAATCTTGTATAGATTCCAGTGAAGGTTTGAATGAGCCGAACTCCTGTAGGATGATTGATAAAAATTCAAATTTATATTTTTATTTTAGTTTTCAACAAGTGACATGTTTAGCCAGTGCTATGACCCGTGTTGTGTCATACATTTTGAAAGAAAGTGGGACTGTTGCACTTTTGCCAGTTGAGCTTTCTATGGACAGCGCCCGGCATTGTTCAAATTCCAGAGGAAATTCCACTTGAACAATTGCCTGTCCTCTGATATTATACCTACTGCAGTTGAATTGCTGACTGGATGCAGTGCTCACTTCCCACATAGTTAATTGATTTATCGGTCCATTCTTTACGAAAAGAAGTTTTTACGTTGTTTTAAACTAGACCAAGCTGGCCTTATATTCATTTGGGTGTTTATAATGGTCCTGATTGAGGCGTCTACATTACACACTTTTAGTCGTCTTTCATTTCGTTACACAGCATAGTTGCCTCTCAAAGAAATGATTATGAAGAATAGAATAGATTCCATACTGTAGGATTTTAAAACATAAAATCTGTAGTGAACACTGAACTCCAAAGGCGGGCGTGAACTGATGAAGAAAGATAGTTAAAGATCGCTTTCATATGAACCATTTTGATTACTATTTTTTTGTTAATTTTATTTCAATCCAAAACAAACACATGACATTTGCAATGGAACACCTTCAATCATTGAATGTTAATGAAATATGTACTGTAGACGGGTAAAATGAAACTAAAAATGCTGGACAATGTCCTTTCCTACTGGAGCCATTACGATTCAACAAGATCTCAAAACTAGAAACGTAAATAGAGGTGAAACGCACAGCAAATTATGCTTCTAATTTTTAATACTATAAGAAGCCTACTAATATTATTCACAGTCAACGTTGCCATTTTCAATTACCTTGTAGCGAAGAGAAATTTATTAATTTAACGGATGTAAATTCGTTAACAATAATCGAACGATAAAACAGCTGTTTCTTTCAAAGAATCATCTGCATTCTGCAGTGAAGCGATGAAGGAAAGAGGATTGTTTTGATTGGACATTCACTGGCCCACTCCCTCCCTGAGACTGAGAGACCTGTGTAGAAATGACGTAATGAGTAAACCGGTCCTCACCCCCCCCTATTCCCCTACAGGTCAACAATCACGAGAGAAAGAGAGGAACATTGGTTGGTTGAGGGATTTATCTCCTACTCACGGGATATTTTCAGTATCACCGGACATGAACTAGAGACACATTTCCTACATTTAACCAATATCTGTGTTAATCAAAACTTATTTTTTAACAATAAAAAGTTTCGAGTAGGGTTTGTTAGTGCAGAAAACAGGAATCTTGATTCAAAAACGCGAAGTGTACGGGGGTTTTAATTTCATTTCGGGATAAACAGGGATATGTTTACCAACGATGGGATAATTTTAAACCGTCAGTGGGAAACATTACAGTCGCTGAAGTGAAGAGAGAGAGAATAGAGAATGCTTTTGGGCGTGATACGTGAGGTGTCAGTGACAGTGTAGTTTGTAGTTACCGAACGTGGATGCACCTCAGTTTATTTGTTTGTTAGTGATACAGTGACAGAACTCTAGTGATAAACAGGTATGTAGTGTTGGATTCCCTATCGTTATAAATCCTGTTGATCCCTTGATGGGAAATTCGTAAACAATTCCCAGAAAGGAAAGTTAGTTGTACCTAAGTTTCTAAACAGTTCAAAACTCTTCTAAATATTCTTATTAGGTATTAAATTACATGAATTCCTAGATTACGTTTATATTGGTAAATAGGTGCAGTAAGACATTTTGAACATGATGCCATACCTAAAATAAAAGTTTTAATTGAGAATCCTATTTGAATATTAATTTTAATTAGTACTCTTAGGTTTGCTGCTAGGAGAAGGTATCTATTATTACTATCATTTATCAATCATTGGGATGGAGACGCCACCTAGGTAATAAAGTGTGTTTTTTTGGATTTAATTAAAATATCAATAGATTGTTATGAAATAAAGAAATTTACAAAATTGTATTAAAATATCTCCATAAACAAGTACAGTAATCAACAACAGTTAAGATATTCTCTATAAAAATAATATGCAGATTTTAAATTTACATTTTTTTTTTCTCCGTAACCATTAGGCGCATAACAATGTTTTAATTACCTAAACTGTTATATTTTAGGCTCTATCTAATATATAAAATTCTCGTGTCACAGTGTTTGTCTGCAAACTCCTCCGGAACGACTTCACCGATCGTTATGAAATTTGGTGTGTAAATTCTGTAGGTATGCGAATCGGACGTAAACTATTTCCCGTTTCGAAATTCTTAAAAGGGCTCCGCCCCAGTGGCTCTGGAGTTTCCCATGTTAACCTTATGAGAAATGGAATTAATGAATCTTAACAGCTGTTTCAATTAAACAAGTTGGTTCTGTTCTATGATGTTCAATAGCATTAAAGTTACAAGGATTACCAACAGGGTGCAGCACTATTATTTCTTTTACATTTATGACAACAGCTAATTTGCAACCAAAAGGTGAGTGAGCGTAGCGAACGAACTTCAACCTGGAGGCGAGTGAGCGTAGCAAACGAGCTAACCTGAAGGCAAGTGAGCGCAGCGAACGAGGTCCAACCTAAAGGTGAGTGAGCGTAGCGAACGAGCTCCAACCCAAAGGTGAGTGAGCGTAGCAAACGAACTTCAACCAGGACGTGATTGAGCGATGCGAACGAGATCATCTTGAAAATTAAACGTAACGGTACTTTCTTTCCATCGGTCTGTCTTAGGGGAAACCTATAACTTAGGCGATACGAAGTTGGTTCATAGTATCTCTATAAAATAGTTCTGGTTCTAATATTATGAAGGTTCACATGTGTTACAGAATGTCATTAAAATATTGGTCTAGGGACATTAAAACAAAAAGTAAATCAGTCCCTCCCTGGTCTAGGTTTTACCCCATGAAACCTACGGTATTTTTAAATAGTTTATTCCCTGTAAGAAAATTCGCTAAAATATAGACTTTTTGTAAAGTTTAGCAGCTTTTGAGTCGTAAACAAATTGCCTTTTCAACAAATAAAAGAGAAATTAGAGGTGTAGCACAATCTGAAAATAGCTAATTCATCTGTTCTTTTTTAGAAAAAAAAAATTGTTGCATGTAGATTTGTTGTATCTACAAAAAATAACCATGTATCTATGTATTGTACTGCAGAATCTAAAAGTTAGTAATTTACTAAACAAAATGATATCCTGCTCTTGTACTGTGAATAATAAAAAAAAAATTAAAAGTAAAAATGACCTAAAGTAACTCATGTTATATTTAAATTCAACACCATTATTTTAGTTTAGCATACTCTTGTTAGAAAAATTGACTATTAGCAATTAGACATTATAACTTGACTGTATTTGCTTTTATTTTAAGATGTTTTAAAAAAGCAAAACTGCATACATGCATTTAGTTTTGAGCTTTAAAAGATGTATAGCAATGGAATCTATGTCATTAAAATTAAAAAATCAGAGATCATTTATAGAGCCATCATTTTGTCAATTAATAATTTGTGTTATGTTTGCTATTAACAGAAATTCCAGGTTTCCTTACCATAACAAATAATTGTATATTCACAACACTAATGAAGTGCAAAGTTCGTTGCCTTTAACCAACTCACTCCGTCATAATGTAAAGAAACTTAAACTTTATTTTTAAGAAGAACGGCAAATGCCAGTCCTTACAATAACATCCAACTATTATCATTATCTATGTTATTTAATAATTTTCATTGGGCCACTGTAAGTCTGTTTAAACCATTTGAACCACATTGTCTTTGACAAATATGTTTATTCTCATTACTTTCTCTTTTCCGTACCCTTTCACCTTTCTTTTTATCATGCTTTATTTCTCCTTAAGCTATTTTTGTTCTACACATTGTACAACTAAACAGAACAGTACCGTAGAATGGGGTGAATAGAAACACTTTTTGACTTTTAAGCTTCTGTAAAACCGATATTTTTAATTTTTAAATTTTCAACACTAGCTCATATTTTCGGTCTTGAACTCCTCTACTCAAACCAGTTATCAAATTTTTTTTATTTTTAATCATTAAGCAGAAAAAAATAAAATATGGCTGTTTCTATTCACCCCGCACTTTGGGGTGAATAGAAACACTGTGTTAAATTGATGATTGTTGCTTTTCCTCACTTACCAGGGGCAATAGAAACAGGAAATTTATGCTTGTTAGCTTAGGTTGTTGTAAATTAAAATATTTAAAGTTAATTAACACATTTATTTATAAGTACGAAGTATAAAAACATCGTTTTCATAAACCCTTATCCAAACAAATCGGAGAACATAAATGACAATGGGTGAAATCAGAGTAACAAAATCTTACATAGAAACCAACTAAATGAAGAGTAAAATCAGACAAATCTTCCTCAAAATACAACACTCCCTTAAATCTACAAGTTGTACACGGCTTGGGAGTTGGAAGCCGATCGTACTACGTCATCGACTTTGAAGAGGGCCTCTTAATCTTTCTCTCAGAACTTGTTGGTTTGCGCAATTTTCTTGATGAATCTTCCTATTTATCCTTCCTCGTCAAATTCAATAACTTTTGCAACATATAAACGATAGCAAGTTTTGTTTTTCCTCATTACTTTGACAATTACATGATCATGAAGGGACAACTTTGAAGACTCACTGATGTCTTGAGCTAGGTATGCTGGTTCTTCTTCATCAAATTGTTCGTCTTTGTCACTTTCTTCCAGTGTGACTGATGTAGAATCATCTTCATCTCTGGTATTTTTTTTTCTTTTTTGGGGGGTTTTTAGGTCAACCTTTATTTGAACCACTGGTTAAAAAAAAGTGTTTCTATTCACCCTGGTTTTGCAAAATCATGACATAACCCAAATTAAAAATAAAGTAAAAAAATATAGTTTATTCTAAGGCTAATCTATTAGCACACTTGGTTTTAAGATACCTAAGACAATATAAAAAATGGTTATTAACATAAATACATGTAATAGGTTCATACTTAGAGAGAAAGTTTTGAAAAGAATGTTTTTCGCCAAAATTTTCAAATGATGTTTCGCATCATCCAACATCCGAAGCAGTGATACCAATATGCTAAACTAATTTTTCCCAGGTAGATAGGATATGGTTATAATGGGGGAAAATAATTCCCTTATATAAAGTCAATGTATAACAAAGTTATAAAAATGTGAATCATTCATTGAAGTTTTGTTTCTATTCACCCCATTTTACGGTATATTTTCAACAGTATGATGGTCACTTAATTGCAACCAAGCAAAACCTGAAGTATAACAAATTTAAATATTTATTTTAAGCTTTAATTTTAACCTTTGTAACTGGTTACACAACTATACTAAAACTTACACAAAGTTTAAGGTGACTTAAAACATGATTTTAGAATGGAAACCACTCTATTCAGCAGATTCAAACCCAAATGTCAAAGATCAATATGATGATGTCATTCTAGTTTCTATTCTTACCATCACCATTTTAGACAAGGTTAGACAACTGGAGGAGAAATTTCAATTTCTAAGGAATCAGAAATTATAAAAAGTGTTTCCTTTGTTATTTCCCAACCTAATAATTTTTCCAACCTCCCATCCCAATGACTATCCTATGGTTATGATGGTAGCTATTTCCATTTATGTTTTATTTGATTCAAACACATATTTTGCTTGTTTATAAGTCTTGATTTGTTCTTTTCATACTCTAGTTCAGTTCATTGTTAACACCATTCAACTTACACTGCACTTCATGAATAAAGATTACTTTACCTAACGCTCCTTTCACACTATACAATTTCGCTCGTACGAGTGTTAATCGTACGGGCAGATGATCGTGGGTCTGTTGCTTTCACACTATACGATTTGTAATCGTACGATTAAAAAAATCTTAACCCCCACTCCACTAGAACAGAGTTCATTGACATTTCAGTGGACAGTTTTAAGTAGTATGGATCGCGAGGAAATTATTGCTACTTTGATAATTTATAGGAGAAAAATAAATTTAATAATAGTCGTATTTAAATTTGAGACGTGAGGAAGTGGGGATGTTTAAAACATTATTTCAAGACCTGAGAAATGACGAAGAAACGTTTTTCAACTATTTTCAGATTTTAAGAGAATCGTTTAAAGCTTCAAGATCAATCACATTCATAATTTTAACTATATAGACAAAACTGTAATAAATAACAAAAACTAAATAATAAAATACGGTTTGCACAGGTAGTTCAACTCAATAATTAAACAATTAAACAACTGTAAACGCAAAATATCTGAAAACTATACGCAACAAACTGCACTTGGGGAGGGCTCCCGCACGACTACAATCGTGTAGTGTGAAAGGGGCCATATGGTCACATGGCCACTAGCAGTAGACACGATTTTTACTCGTGCGGGAGTCGGATACCAACCGTGTGCACCTACGGTCGCTACGCGAGTGAAACTCGTACACGGTTGGTAATGGTATAATGTGAAAGGGGCCATAAGCTCCAATGCGTTACAACAAATACGATTAATAACCGCACGAGCGAAATCGTATAGTGTGAAAGGAGCGTAACTCATTTCATTCACTTTTCATGAAAGCAGACTTCCCATGCAACTGGAGAATTTAAATCCTCTTTTGGTGTGTGTCATATTGGTTTGATTTAAATGTGACACTGAAGTGCTAATGTGATCAACCTTTTTCTTTATTTGCTATGGGTATTTTGTAATACATTGGAAATATTTTATAAGAAATATTATCACAAGTAAGAGTAAGAAATAAATTTAATAAAATGATTCAATTTTAAGGACAAATAAATTGTTTTCACAATTGAAAATCTTGCGATAATATTAAATTAAAAGTATAAAAGTTAAATGTTTGGTTTGTATTTTATTTACCAAACAAAAATACAAATTAAATTATACTGTATATAGATTCTTTTGTAACACTAAGTTAGTCCATAATGGGGTTTTCATCCCACTATGTAAACATAAACATCAATTAGCTTTTATTGTGACTACCTCTGAATGAACCTGGCTAAGTTCAACGTCTTGTAGAAATAATGATAAGTTGACTTTGTTAACTAAGCTATTATATTGAACCCTCATTCATTATAGGAAATGTGATTTTAGATTTTTGATCCATTCAAGTCGTGACTTGGCTGACAGTAAGTTTTCAACTTTAATTCTAGCATTTTATCTTAAGGTGGGGTTTGTTTGTAATTAAAGAGAAATAAAAACTTGAATGTGGCACAGAGAGTAGCAGTAGCTTCCTTAATTATTTATATCTACATAAAATATACTTCTACCATCGTCTTTACAACTAAAGAAGATAATCCCATCTGCTGTTTGGTACCGCAGACTACATTACATATTTTAGGTGTTTTAATCTAAAAAAAGTTTACTTGCAAATTATAAATTTAAAGTACATTTTTTGGAAACTTTTGGTCGAAATTAAAAAAAATAGAAAACTGGTTGTAAATGCAGCTACTTAATATTTTTAAGTCTAAATTTGTCGTTCAAAGTAGCATTGGTTGATTTGTCAATGTTGTGAGTACTTTAGCTGTGTGTGGAATATTTTTTTGGTCCTCACATACCAAAAATGTAGACAAAATATAATGTGCATTTATTCAAATGTCTTTTTAAACTCAAAACACTCATCCTCTTGTTAAAACAAATGTCACTTTGCTGACAAGCTCTGTAGGCCTACAAATATCTAATTTCACAAACTTATTTATAACTCTTGTCGATTATTGCTACAATGATGGGTTGTTTTGGTTATGATTTTGATTTTGAGTACTGAAGTAGACATGGACCAACTGTTGCCAAAACATGCTCAAAATGGAAATCATTGTGTGAGCCACTCGACTTACAGCGTGACAGACTAAAATTCTATTTTCTCCCTTAGTCTTTGTCACTGAGATAAATATGAAGTAAAGATGATAGCTTACAAAAAAAGTCAACTTGTGTGTTTTTATGATACATCCTGTCAAATTCATGATAGGAATCATCCTATCAATTTAACCTGGTTAAAAAAGGTCTCCGATAGCAATCAGTAACTTACATCACCGCACTATTTTGTTGTCTCAATAATTCAACTTTAACAATTTTGTTTCAAAAACTGACAACAACTTTGACATGGATGGGGATGGAATGTCAATAGTGAAAGATTACGATTAGTTTTCTCTATCAAAGCAATAAGTTACTGTATGTGCAATGGAAATATTTAATCTGTGACTTCAGAAACAGAGGGCCTCCAGTTGGAGGTAAAGATTGTAGTAGGATGGTTTAGAAACAGATATGAAAAGTGAGGGAAATGACCTCTGACTCCCATGATCAGCTGATCTTTCTCATTCTCTATCTCCCTCTTGTCGGCTGGCTTCAGTAGACGACACAACACCCACAAGCCACTTAATTCTTTACTTGACCTTTGGAGTTGTCTGTCTATTGAACCTACTCGCGCTAAAAAATACATTGTGTTTTTTTACAATAGTAGACCTACATATTTTTTCGGTAATTGGAAATCGGTACTTTAACTCTAATTTTAATATTCAATACAATAACTTTGCTTATTTTGAATTATTAAGCAGATGTGATATGTAGGGTACAGCGGGATTTTCTTTCATATCAAAGGTTTTTGCTTTGGTATTTCAATTAGATTAGTTTTTATATAACAAACTCTAATCTAGGTAAAATTTAACAAATTTGATAGGTACTCTTTGTTACATAAAACCTTAAACATACAAATGAAAAAAAGGATAAAATAACTGTCTAGATTTGGTTTCTTTCTATGATAAGTCATTTTATCTTATTTTCAGAATTATCAATGTTTTTTGGTTTCTTAAAATATACTAGTACATAATTACCTAAACAAAATTTAAACTATCGAATTCTTCTGCAACAGTGTTGTCGTATTAAAATTTTGGAAACTTTGTTAGGAGAAGTAAGGATAACACAACTAACTCACCTAAAGAAAAAGTCCCAGCAAGTTAAAAGTACACAAAAAAGTATGTTTAATTAATTAGATATTTTCTTGATCGGAATGCAAAATGCAAATAAATTTTAGAATCTATTTTATTTTACATTTGAAGATATTATTCAAAATAATATTAACCTTGTGTTTTTCATTGCAGGCAGGATGAGAAGTACACTCCCAGTTTTAGCGATATGCTGCTTGGCCGTTGCTCGATCTCAAAAGCAGGAGACTTGTTACGCTGATAATCCAAACCCTTATCTTAATTTTGGCACAAAGACAGCTTACGAACACGCCTATAACAAAAAGGGTATCCAGGCAGTACCAGGTATGTCTATATTCTATTGCAGTTGTAGCGTGATAGCATTGAATTTGATTACGCCAGGAGACTTCTTGTTGTAAAATCTGAAGCCATTTTAAGACGTTTTAACTCTGATTAAGTTTGAATGGGAACCTCGATAACAAGGGTCATGTTCATACCCCTAGAATTGATTTTACCTCTAGTCCCATGTTATTGCAAACCTTTATATCATGATAACAAATCAACCTTGATCTTGATAACAAGTCTTTTTTTAACAATTCCCATAAAGAGTCTTGTTACTGAGGTTCTCCAGTAAATCTTTTCTCTTTGGAGTCAATTGCAATGTAAACTTTACTCTTCAGGTATGATTCCATACGTTGGGCAATGTATAATAAATATATATTGTTTTATTTGGACAAAATAATTTGCAAATTGGTTAAAGAACAAGAAATCAAAATCAAAATCTACATTTAGACATGACACGTACATTAAAATTAATCTTTTGTTCTGTAAGGAGTTATGTTCAATCCATAGCCCACTAAAAAACAAGACATTGATTTACAAACTGTACCATACCTTAATAAAAATCTAAATTACATAAACTTATGGTTCGGTTTGTAAACATAGTATAAGAATTAAGAGAGATAAATTAGAGTTACATTACTCTGTACTGTTTGTTGTTTCGCTAAAGAATATTTCGTCTTTGCATCCTATAACCTGATTTGTTATCAATAATGTTGAAATCAAATTGCTGATATCAAGCAGTATGTCAGTTTGTTTAAAAACAGCAAACAATGACTGACAAAGTTTAAAAATTTCTTATCAGTTTGACAGCTTCTTGTTTATTACCATTTTATCTCTGTCTTCAATGCACGCTGCAAGCTGGAAAAAATGTTATATTATTTTGGTTCTAAAATTTGTAGATAATTTTGTTATGCATCTTTAGGGCCTTCATAACAATCAGTGTTTTATCCTGCCTATTACAGATATCACCTTAAGCCCCTTAGTTTCTTTTATTTCTAGCTGATGTAGACACAAAAAAGACATGTATTTTTTACCTAAATGAAGATGGAGATTAAAAAAAATTACCTCTCGAATGTATCAGGTACAAGACCATGTGTAGATTGTTTTAAGGAGTGTGGTTTAAAACTGATTTGGGATAAGATATAATTTTGTTTTTAAAGAGTAAATTATGAATCAGCAAAACACTACACAAATTGAACTACTTTATTTCTTGATGGTAAAACCAGGGCCGATTCACCAAATTGGCACGAGGGATAGGGCACGAGGCAATTGGCTTTTTTTGGGGTGCCAAAAATTGGAATAAAAAATGGTGTTTGTATTAGCATGATCGCAGTAAACTTCTGATAATACCTCGCGGCCGTTTAAACATCGTAACCAACTCCCGCAATTGAGAATGAGGCAAAAGTGTGACAATTTTCCACAGTCTGTTTGACATACCTTCCAGGATCGCAGCAATATGTGAACATATCCCACGGTCGTGAGGAGATCATCATCGTCTTCCGCAAATGAGGCAAAATTCTGATCTTTTCCCTTGATTGAATATACATTATCATCGTCTTGCCCTATCACGATATAAATTCTGATCCCCCTCGCGGCTGTGAAGTCATCATTATATCGTCCCCCGTGGTTGTTTGAGCATAGTAATCGCCTCCCGTGATTGCGGCAAAACTGTAATCCGTCTCCCACTTCTGCGACCATGTATAGATCATCTTGCGCGAATGAGGCAAAATGCTGATCTTTTCCTGTGGTCATGTGGACATTATCATTGTCTTGCGAGATCCCAGCATAATTCTGATTATCCCTCGCGGCCGTGTAGAAATTATTATTGTATCTCCCGCGGTACTGTAGACATCTTAATCGTCTCCCGCGGTCCTGTAGACATCGTAATCGTATCCCGCGGTCGAGAAGACATCATAATTGTTTCCCACGATTGCGGCAAAATGTTAATCATATCCCGCAGTCGTGAGGCGATTATTATCGTCTTCCGTGATCGCGGCAATATTCTGATCATCCCTCACGGCTCTGTAGATATCATCATCGTCTTCTGTGATCACTAAAAATTCTGATAACCCCTGGCGGCTGTGTGAAGATATATTGTCGTCTCCCGCCGTCACGGATACGTCACTGTTGTCATTTGTGATGGCGGTAAATTGAAAATTCCAGGGGGATATACAAAATTCACGCATAATTTCCGGTTCAATAAACTCAAGAATAATTCCCGGATTTCCCGGTCGGTGGACACCCTGTATATATATTGCAAAGGGGCGCTACTATTAGTTGTGCCTAGGGCGCTGACAGAGTCAAAAACGGGCCTGGAAAACATCCAAAAAAGTCAACCCAGTTTGGTTTTGTTCACTGATTATGTTGTTTCAGACTGCCAGCCAATCCAGCTATGGCTCGTAGCAAGACACGGGACCCGGTGGCCGAGCGCAGACGACATTCCAGAGTTTTCACAACTTAACGACATAAAGAATCACATAATCTCAAACTACAATAATAACAGTAAGCATTGAGTTTAAATGGATTCATTTAGTTAAGATAAGCCATTACAATTAATGAAGAGACATAAGTTGTCGAGGAGTAGTGTTTCCAGACAGTCTAGAAAGAGAGGTAACAACCACTCTCTCATTCATTCCAGCAAACAGTAACAAAATGCCTGATTTGAGTCGCAACTTAAAAGAACCATCCACCCATATGTTAATGAAAGCATTTTGAGTTATGTTTGTAAAAACTATACAAATGAAGGTTAACTGCTCAAGGTATATAAGGTCAAGGTGTTATACTCTTAATTATTAGTACATTAACCTTAAGGGTTGAAGAGGTTAAACGTGTACTTTATCATTCCAGAAGGCAGCCTGTGCATGAAGGATATAGAGAACCTGAAGGAATGGTCATTCAACATGTCCCCAGATCAGGGAGATATGTTGACCAAGCAAGGCAGGCAGGATCTTTACCTGCTGGGAAAAAGGATCAGAAGCTACTTCCCAGAACTGCTCAACATCCCTTACTCAGCAGACAAGTTCGTGGTGAGTGTTATTATTAGAAAACTGGACATAATTATTACCAATTATTATAGGCCTGTCATTATCAGGCCTGTCATAATCATTATAGGCTGATCCTGAAGAATCAGCTGGCTTTTCTTGACGATATCCATTTGTCAAGACATGAAGCCTTACTTATTTTTTCAGTATCAGTGGACGCAAACGTCTAATAATCTTAACTACACAATCCCTCACATTTTTGGTCTGATTCACCTGAACTATTTACTATCCTTTACTACTTCTAAAGACCTAGTTTACCTATCTAGCGTACGGTACTGAGTGTAGGAACGCTCTGATACTAAGACGACTCTGAAAACACTGCCTCAAGCAGCGCCAAAAAATCAAATCATTTGTTTCTTTTCGGACGGCCCTTGTATTTATTGTGCATTTCGTATTAGGCGATAGTAATACGACAAGAGTTTTTGTGGGAAACAGTTGTAAACAAAGAATTGCTCGATAAATAAAGGCCATTTAGAGCAAACAACAATTTTATTCATTCATAAAATTACATAGAAAAGATTTTAATTTTAAAATACTAGCTACTTGGGATGTATAAAAAAATAAAATGAAAGCTCAATAGAGCAATGAGGGAATTGCGGCACCATATCTTCAAATTGAATGCTTCTAATTTTACGTCTAGTTCCCCGTAGCCTAAGCAAAACTGCTCGAATGATGGAAAGCTGGCTTTGGATCCTCAACCATCCGATAATTTGGGAGTATGGTTTTCTCCATTTTACAGCCAGGGCTTCGCTTGTTCTCCTCTGAAACGCTTCATATTCTTTGTGGGGGACTCCTTCCGTGGAACACATTAATGGTGTGAAGCTTCCTCTGATGTCTTCGGCTGCTTTGTCATATTTATTGTGTTTCTGAACGGCATGGTTTTGAGATATTGTTCCCCATTCTTGGTTGGCGTAAGAGGGAGCGTCAGCATTAACAATGTGATTATCAAAAAACACTACTCTCTCAGCCTCCCAAATACCATTAACTTTAAAATCAGCTTTTAAAGCAGGCACATTGTTTGCGGGGTCAGCTTCTCTCATAATAGGCTCGACTTCAACCCCTTTCCAGGCCATATTTGCTATCGCAGCACAGTGGTCTCGATGTTGATCATGCTCATGTTTGATCAATCCTCCTTTTTTACAATTTAAAGCATGTGTAAGACTCATAGGTTGATCACAACCATCACATTGTACTGGTAAATTTCTTAGTGTGCGGCCATAGCGAATTGACAAAGCATCTCTGAATTGATCCGGGGACAAATCCGTATGATTAGATGCACATGGTGTCACAGTTAACCATTGGCTAGTATTCCCTGCTACAATTCTAATTATTGGCTTCTTTTGAGTTTCAGGAAGTAATTGCATAATTCGTTCATTATTTGCTTTAGCCAAAGTGTCTTTTTCTAGTTTTCTCTTCTTTTTTACATCTTGTAGAGTTGATACATGATCATTAATCTTTAATGGTTGTCCATTTTTAATGGCTAATATTAATTTTTCTGTGCGTTGTTTTGATGTTTTAAATGAAATACCATCGTTCTTTGTCGGGTCCTGAATATTTAAGCCTCCAAAACAAGTAGGGAGAGAGAACAAGTCATGTTCAAGTTGAGAAATCTCTTGTTCGAAAAGGTTGGGAGTGAAATGGTGATGTAGGCCTATGGCAGTTTTTAAATCTTTGTATTCTTCACTAAATCCCTCTGTTACTCTTTGGAGAAATGCCCATTCATTTTGTAATGACTTTGTAAAGGCAATATACGCTGCTTGAGGACTTTTATGTGCAGCTATGCCAAATTTCTTTATACAATCAACCCATTTTTTTACTTTTTCTTTCACGAATTCCTTCTTTTCTTCTGAGCTACCAATAATACCCCCTAAAAACCTGTACGATGTTACAATTTCCACTTGTAGGTCTCTGAAAATTTCTTCTGCTTTTTCTTTATATTCAGGTTTTATTATCAAGACACTTTTCTTGGGTTCTGGGTAATACCCCCATTTTGGCCCTTCAACACGTAAAGTGTTAAACCATTCTCTAACTTTAAGTGTTTCACCGAAACATGCAGAATCATCAGCGTACCAGTTTTCAAGGCCATTTTATTTATTTTTTAAGCTACAAATTCGTCATCTTCATGGATAAGCTAAACAAAATTTTATCTCCCACAACACTTAAGTGTAATTTGGTTTGGACTGAAAAGATGTTCTTTTACAGTTTCGACACACCAACACATCTCGTACCAAGGAGAGTGCAGAGTACTTTTACCGAGGAGTGTTTGGGATGAGTTTCGAAGACCAGGTTCCCACCCTCCCCGCACCCATTGAGGATGATCGTCTCATATATGTAAGTTTACCGAAACGTTAAACAAGTTTAAAGGGATTATACCTTTGAGTTCCAACAGCTGATCTATGGACACAAGAGTAACATAATAACATTTCTACCTACAGCAGTATATGCGAGAATAAAATTACTGAAAAGAGTTGACAGCTATTAGAAATTTGTCTGGTTTTGAAACCTGTCCTTTTCACACATAAGTCCGAGATTCTTATTACTACGTTAGCAACAACCCCATTTTTAATGAGGTTTAGGACATAATGATGACTTAAATGGAAAGGAATATGTTTGTAACAGCCTCAATCAGCACTCATGGAAAATAATCAAATAGTAACAAAAAGTAAAAACTTTCAGCCTTATAACAACTGCCCAACTTGGGACGCCCAGAGCTCAAGTGCGAAAGAAGAAAAGGCCAAGTTTGACAAGAGCGAGTGGATGAACAACGTTATCTACAGCGTCAGCCAGCGTCTTGGCTTTGACTACAACCTCACAAAAGGTAGGTTGACTGTGACAGTAAGAAACATGATCTTACTGTCATCATCTTAAGGTTCCGTCACAGTTAATAGAATGTCTGCAATATTTTGACATTGGCATGTCAGCAATTAGGCAATATTGTCAGGTGTTAGTTAATTTATATGTGTTAATAGTTATTTATGTATTAGGTAGTAGAAAGTAAAATATCGTGCTACAGTGATTAAGAATGATCTTTAAAATAGTTACAGTCAATGGCTTGAATAAGACTACTACACCTTTATTAAAGTTATTAGAATCATTTATGGATTGGCTGGGTAGCTGAGTGGTATAAGTGCTCACTTAGCAATCAAAAGGTCGCCGGTTCGGTCCTGAGAAAAGTCAGTTGTATTTTTATCGTTCAAAACTGAACCCAGCTGTTCCTGGGGCTTTAAATAACTGATTATGGCTAATGAATCAGCTGATCTAAGTCAGTAACAAAGCTACACATATCATCTCAAAAGATTCTACACTCATGCTTCATTCATATTTGGGTTGAAATATGCATTTAGGTGGCGTCCCCATCTCAGTAATAGATATATTATTTTATAGATTTTGCTTGCATTTTAAAATCCGTTCACAAACACATTTACGGAACATATTAAATCTTAATTGGTTATCTAAAGTGGTGCTTCGAGGTGTCAAACAAGGTAGTAACTCATTTAAGATAAAAAAATACACTGTCAAGATGTTTAAACTGTATACACTTATCAAGCCATGAATTCAGAGAAATCAATTGAAGTGAATTTCCCCAAATGGAAACCATTTCTGGAAATCAGCATTATGCATATGGATTTGGAATCACTATACAAATTTATTGAAATTTCCACCTTCAATCAGTTTAGCTGTACTTAAAGTATTTACGGTATTGATGTTGCTTTTAAGATGTTTTCATTTAACTACAGCCCTAACAAATAATGTTCATTACTTTACTAGCTCTAAAGAGTTGGATTGTTGGAACAGTTGAAATGAACTACAAACTGTGTTCCAGATAATGTTAAGGATATTTACGATGGCTGCCGTTATCAGAAGGCGTGGAACGTCACAGGAACATCTCCCTGGTGTGCGGCATTCACTAAGGAGGAATTGCAGGTCTTTAAATTAAATATATAGGGTTAAAGTCCAATGGGGCAATTTTGTTTAAAAAATTAAAATATGGCTTATATTAAGATAACTAAAACTATTTTCTAAACTCTGAATTTACAAAAAAGCCAATAAAAATCTATATATATAATACTAGCTGTAACCCGCGGGCTTTGCCCCGTTTAATTATCTCGTTCGCATGGCTCAATCACGTCATGGTTTAAGTTTGTTCTCTACGCTCACTCACCTTTAGGTTGGAGCTCGTTCGCTACGCTCACTCACCTTTAGGTTGGAGCTCGTTCGCTGCGCTCACTTGCCTTCAGGTTAGCTCGTTCGCTACGCTAACTCGCCTCCAGGTTGAAGTTCGTTCGCTACGCTCACTCACCTTTTGGTTGCAAATTAGCTGTTGTCATAAATGTAAAATAAATAATAGTGCTGCACCCTGTTGGTAATCCTTGTAACTTTAATGCTATTGAACATCATAGAACAGAACCAACTTGTTTAATTGAAACAGCTGTTAAGATTCAATAATTCCATTTCTCATAAGGTTAACATTGGAAACTCCAGAGCCACTGGGGCGGAGCCCGAAAGGATTTTTGAAATAAGAATATGCCTATATGTTAATCGGGAATGTGAGCTATCATCATGCCAAATTTCAGCCCAATCCGACCAGTATTTTTTGCGTTCACTTGTCAAAAACATACATCCATACATCCAAACTTTCTCATTTATAATATTACTAGCTGTAACCCGCGGGCTTTGCCCCGTTTAACTTCTTAATTTTCAAGATTATCTCGTTCGCATGGCTCAATCACGTCCTGGTTGAAGTTTGTTCGCTACGCTCACTCACCTTTAGGTTGGAGCTCGTTCGCTACGCTCACTCACCTTTAGGTTGGAGCTCGTTCGCTACGCTCACTCACCTTTAGGTTGGAGCTCGTTCGCTGCGCTCACTTGCCTTCAGGTTAGCTCGTTCGCTACGCTAACTCGCCTCCAGGTTGAAGTTCGTTCCGTTCGCTACGCTCACTCACCTTTTGGTTGCAAATTAGCTGTTGTCATAAATGTAAAAGAAATAATAGTGCTGCACCCTGTTGGTAATTTTTGTAACTTTAATGCTATTGAACATCACAGAACAGAATCAACTTGTTTAATTGAAACAGCTGTTAAGATTCAATAATTTCATTTCTCATAAGGTTAACATGGGAAACTCCAGAGCCACTGGGGCGGAGCCCGAAAGGATTTTTGAAATAAGAATATGCCTATATGTTAATCGGGAATGTGAGCTATCATCATGCCAAATTTCATCCCAATCCGACCAGTATTTTTCGCGTTCACTTGTCACAAACATACATCCATACATCCAAACTTTCTCATTTATAATATTAGTAGGATTAGTAGGACGTGAAGCCGTTTTTTGTTAACGCAACTCCTCCCTTATTTGTGGACCAATTTCAACGTTTAAGGTGTCAAAAGATTCGTCTCAATATGTAGTTTTGCAATAAGGTTTTGGAATTTTTAAATTCCTACTCTTAAGGGCGTGAGACCCTTTCAAAGGTCGAGTTTTCCCCATAAGAAATACATAGAACAAATTTAAATAAAAATAAACAGCTGTTTATAAAAAGAAACTCATATTAGCTTTTTGGGAGTAAATATTAATGTTTGTAATATTGAGTAGGTTAATACCACTGAGCTAAAATTATAACTGGAGGTAGCACCGCCATGGCAGAAGTCTGTCAAAAGCGTGTCGCTGATTTTGTTAGGTTGGTATAGCAGCGAGTTTTCTTATCATAGCAATAACATGGCTTCTATAATTAGGTTGGTATAGCAGTGAGTTTTCTTATCCAATAACATTGCTTCTTTTTAGCTCACACCTCACGCAAACATGGCGGCTGGCGACACGCATCTTTGACATTCAGTGCTACCTCCAGTTAGAATTATAGCTCAGTGGTTAAATACCAAGTTAAACAAGTTAATCAGTTTTGTAGGAAGAACAGAAAATGCCTCAATTTCAAAGAAGAAATATTGAAAACGGGAGTAGGAGACAATTAATAATAAGATATCTTATGCGTTTGAGGAGAGTAGAAATAAAGAGGCCTGGTCTAACAGACATTATTGACAATATACTAACTACTAAAATTTTGGTTAGGAAACTATCATTTTGTCTTTCAAATAATGTAGGCTAGGTTGTTGTGAATTGGTCATATTAAACAAATTTTCAAAGTTTAAATATACTGAAAAAAAAAATACTAGAGCAATTTCTCACAGCTAAAGTTACAAGAAACCTTCATAAGTACTTTTCAAAGACTTGTGACGGAAGCCAAAGTTGGCACATTGAATGAAGTTACTTCAAGGTTCTAGTTTTGATCTTTTACCAGCATCGTGTCAAACGTTTACTTGTCTTTTTAATTCTAGTTTTTTTGGGTCTCTTTAGGATTTTTTGTTAGGATTTCAACGTCCTGATCTACTCACAACTTGTCTATTTTTTTAGACTATTCAGGAACTTTTATATTAATCAAAATATTCATAGTATTTTGTACTTGTGTAGCATTACAGAGACTGAACATGTAACTTTATTATTTCAACTCTAAATATGTTGTACATAAAAAAAAATGTTAAATAGGTGTTGGAGTATGGAGAAGATGTGAAATACTTTTACAAATCTGGCCCAGGGAAACCCATGAACATGCGGCTGGCTTGTCCATTGGTTAAGGATTTGTACACAAGATTCAGGTTAGGATGAGAAATTAACTCTTAACCATTCTTTCAATTGTGAGTAAACAACCATTTAGGCAATATAGCTCTGACTTTGATTTATCTGTGTGATCCATGTATTAATTATAACACTGAGTTACTAATTACTTTTTAGACAGTGACACACATTTCGGAAATTTTGCGGTGAGTCCATAATGACTGGATGAAAGTATATCCAGTTTTGTGCATTGTGTAGATTCCTTTTGACCTAAAATCAGCTGTTTTCTTAGTCCAGATCTAATAACTAGAGGCCTAATTATAAATTACCGCTTATCCAACTCATGTTAAGTTTGAACCTCTTAAAGTCTCTAGAAGCTATTTACAATTGAATTGGCTACCTTTTAAATAAAAAACAAGCACCTTTAACCAATTGGTTATCCTACCAGTTACTCTGTACAATAAATAAGAGTTACAAGAACCTTTGTTTATCTAAATTATTTTCTTATAGACCCTTTGGGAAATGATGTACTTAATATTCAAGGAGCTTTGATCCAAAAATATTTGTTAACAAGTAGCAATTGTAACAAATATAGTTACTTTAAAAAATATATTATGCCTATTTACACACAAAATTCCAAAAATGTTAGTATAAATAGGTGTTTGTCCTTTGTTTAAAGTTCATTTATACACCTGGGGAAATTAGCAATAACGTTACTAATTACAACAACCTTATTTTGTTAACTTGTATGTTGCAGTGCTGTAGAGGAGGAGCCCAGAGGTAACCACCCGGCAGCCGTTTTCTACTTTAGCCATGCTACGATGGTGGACATGGTATCGGCCAGGTTAGGCCTGACTGACGACTCGCTACCACTGACTGCCGACAACTTCCCTGACCAGATGTATCGGAAATTCCGCACCTCTAATATCATCCCGTTTACGGGAAATGTTCTTGCAGTGCTGTACAAGTAAGTAAAAGGATTTAGAACACATTGTTACAAATCGTAGCATTGTTTACATCGCATACTTATCTGATTTGAAACTGAATGTATAACTTTGTTTAGTAATTTTTAGGTTTGGAAATGCAGTCTTTTTGTCTTACAGATTTTAATGCTGAATAAATGTATCCATACACTTTTCAACACTCAAGGAATTTTTATTGTTGCTGAAAATCTTTGTGTGTTTGTCAACCTGGTTTGATGATTCTGTTGTACTTAACACGTTCGCTACCGCATTAGTACTGAATTTTTCATTCATATTGACCAGCGACACACATATGCGACACCCGGTTTCTACTCATAGACTGCCGTCAAAAATATGCGACGGCTGGTCACATTAAAATTAGACTGACGTAGTATATTTGTGTCAGTGTCATATGTTATTAAAAAGCTTATATCCTCGTAATGGTCTATTTAAAAGCCCTGAATTCTCTGCAGTGGTCTAGGCTAAAGGGATGTCTGTGGCAAGGTTTAGAGAGAAATCGGGAAATTATGTGTTTTGAGGATCAAAAATGAGAAGAACCATTATTTACCCCATAAAACCCCCAGTAAAACCCTGTTCCCATGGTCCGTTCATGCTGGTTCGCGAACTCATTCAAGTTTATCCCGCCTTACACCTTTAAATGTTTAAATTACACCTTTAAACCAAATTTCATCAAAATCGGACAAAAATTACTTAAGTTATCATGGACGTATGTATGTATATATATAAATTTGAATAAATGGTGTTTTGGCCTCTGGGGACATCAAAATGAAAAAGTAAATCGTTCCCGGGCCTAGGTCTTACCGTGCCACCTACAGTAATAGCTACTTCCCTATAGGGAAATTCGCTAAAACGTTTGAAATAAGTATCTATATGGAAAGTAGTATTAGGAATGGAGATTTTCACCCATACCAGTCCAGAAGAGCGACAGATTAAAATTCCTGTACACCATACAACCCAGTTCAGTAAGAAACCATCCTATATCTGCTGCAAGATCATCAATGCACTGCCCCAATACCTTAAGAATATGTGAGGAAACAAACTAAAAGAGGGACTGCAAGACTGGCTGGTGGAACAACCTGTTTGCTCAACCAAAGAATTTTTTAATCTCTTTCAAAGATAGAAGACCAGAAAATACCTGTAAAGCAAGAGATCTAAACAAACATGACACTATTGTAATTCTTGAAGAAAATAATAATACAGAAATTTATCTATTGTCTATCTTAACTTTAAAATTTTCCCAAACAAAATTTTGAATTAAGTTTTAACAGCAGTACATGAAGTTCTTACAAATACTCTAATTTAAATCAAGTTCCATTTGATTAAACATGTGAAATAAAACTTTCAGTTCATAACCGCAAACTTTACTTCATCTGTTACAGTTGTGCAAGGGGTGAATCCCTACAGACCATATTCTACCAAGCGGAGGACATTGTACGTTATCCCGGCTGCAGTGTTGGTCTGTGTGAATGGAACTACATCAAGCAACGGTTCTCGTCCTTCACGCAAGAACCCTCGTGCGTTGACGACAGTTATTGCTTCACAAAGGGTGGCGCTGCGACTGTGACGTCCAATATAGGTCTACTTGTAGCTATTGTAGTGTTGGCCTATAGAATATATTAGTATGCTGAATAAATCGTAGCCTAATCGCATTATTACTTGTGAAATGTGATGGACGTAACCATAGACAAAAAAAATTAAATATAGACCGTCAGCTGTGCTGCGGTTACCATAGGTTTTACGTCTACTTAACTACACGGTGCTCCAAGCGGTGAGCGCCAGAACCTATGGTAACCATGGTAACCACAGCACGGCTGACAGTCTATATTTAATTCTTTTTGTCTATGACGTAACACAGGGTCAAACTTGGTCTGCATACTTTGCAATTTTGGTTTGTTAATCAGGCTAGACCAAGTAAAAATGGGATTAAAAAATATCTCATTTTCTAGTGATAAAACTAGGTTTACTATACACACAAACTGTATATAGATTTGAAGTTGTCAAGGAAACTTTCCTACTTGTTAATTGATTGTTTCTTGTTGGTTAATTGTGCTTTCACAGTCTGAATTGTTTGCAACTTTCCTTAGAGTGTGATGTGTGTGTTTGTTTTAAATTTTCGAAGCAATCCGAACGTCTGTACTATAAATTAACATTTTAAAAATTAGTCCAATTAAATAACAACTAACAAAGAACAATTTTAATTTAATTTGTATTTTGAAGAACATTGTGATATAATGCTGCTCACAAAAACTTGGTAAGTTTATATAGGCTAATTTTTATAAGCTTAAGAAATTTCACTTATATTGTTTCAATACCTAATAATTTTTGTGTTACAGAAACATCGGGTTTGTAAAAAACAAACAAACAACTATTTTTATCGATACAATGTTTATGATGTTGTACATGAATAAGGAATCATGTTCGACAATTTGAAGAGAACCTAACTCCTTGACCCTATTTTATTTATTAAAATTTAACCCTCCCAGTGTTACTTGACGAAAATTCGACAAGCAGCACACTTTGTGTAGTGTTACTTGTCGATTTTTCGACACGCAGACATCGTTTACGGCGAAGGCTCTATGACTGACTGAATCGGATTGAACTGGATCTAGTTAGGTATCGTTCTTTCCGTTATATTCTAAGCTTTCTCCAGAGGTCTGTCTCAGCGCTGTATGTTCTCTGAACCGATCGTAATTGTAGCAGACAGCTGACGTGTGAATTAGTAAACATCTTAGTTAACCTCGGACCGATGACTGATGTGTTTTATTACGTTTATCATTGTTTTAGTGTTAAAAATCAAAAGTAGTGATATACGTAATGCATTATAAGAAGTTTTAAGTGGTTTTGAAGTGCTGGTTGATGATCCTGAAGAAGTAGGTAGTGATATTGATGTAAATTATCAGCCAGATTCCTAGCTATGGTTAGGCTATGCATTCTTAGCTAAACGCTATGTACTGAAATCTGTTTTTTGCCCATAACTTATTCATTTGCAAATCTACTTCCTTATATTATTATATATTTGTAATCCTCATAAAATTTATAACAAAGTGGCTATTTTCAAATATTTATAGGCCTATAATTTATACAATTTCATTGAGCGCAAACTTATTTTTTTTTTGAAAATTTTCCAAAAAATTTTTTTTTTACCTAAAAGTTTTTTTTGAAACAAAATGTTCCTTATGTTTTATGTATAATATTGAAGCCCATGATTTTCCAAACAAAATGGTATATAGAACAGTAGAATTAACATTGTTTTAAGCTTTTCAGATCCGTTTTAATAAAACCTTGCAAATGCGCCAAAAATAGGCGGACATTAAGGCCTAAACTATGGACACTCGGAGGGTTAAGACGGAAGCAAAATAAATAGCCTCTTCAAAGTTACAGCATATACTAACACTTAAGATGATGTCGTTCAATCATTAAAGAAACATTATTCATGCGTATAAAACTATATGGCGTTGTGATATAAACGAATGCAATAAAAGATATACTATATACTACAGTAATTTTATAAAGAAAATTCAATTCACACTTTGCAAAGAACTTTTAAAGGATTCCTGAAGAATTTTGATGTACAGTATGTAAGTAAATAAATATATTACTTGTTTAATGGTTGTAAATGTAATTGAGTGTACTTGTCTAAAAGGAATAGTATCCGAACAAGGGTTTTATTTATTTACCAAATAGAATTTTTGTTATTATTTTATTATTAATGTTGACTTATAACTAGGTAACAATGTAGAATAGTAACACAAATTTTATTGTTGATTCAGGACAGGGTGATTGTATTATAGACAAATAGAATAAATATAGACTGTCAAAGGAAGCTTCCGGCGTCCACCGCTAGGAGTGCCGTTTAGTTACGGCACACACCGCTGCAGGCAAAGAGCACATGGGCCGTATGCTTCCAGCAGACGCTGCAGCGGTGTGCGCCGTAACTACACGACACTCCTAGCGGTGAGCGCCGGAACATATGCTAACCGCAGCACTGCTGCCGGTCTATATTCATTCTATTTGTCTATGATTGTATGCAGTATTAAGGAAACTTTTTGGTAGGTATTTAATACCACATTACTAAGTTTTGTGATTATAATAAAATTGCTTTAATTAATTGTGTAAATAGGTCAGTATCATTCTAATATTATTCTTCACAGATGAATTTATTACATTGTAAATAACTTATAATAGACAGTTTGTTGTTAAGTTTTACTAGGTTTATTTAAATAGTTTAGACAATGTTAAGATTATTTTTGTTAGCCTATTTGATTAGTTTATTATCGATCAAGAAGCTATTTAGCCTATGTTTTGTTAAAACTGAATTAACTACAGCAAGGACTGTGTTTTGGTTTATTTAAATCATCAATTATTGTATAGGCCTATGTGTGTTTAAATACGATGTCATTTAAGTTAAATTATTCAACATACGTAATGTTTTTGTCTAATGATTTACTTGAGTTTTATAAAAGGATTTTATTTTATTAAAAAGTTTTATTTACAAAATTTTATTTTGTATTGATTGAACTGCCTGGTTTCAAGATATCTCATTATATTTCATGATTCAATGTGGCATCTTCAGTGTTATTTACGCTGAAGGCTGTTGGGGTGAAAGGCAACTCAGAAGTTCATCAAGTCACTGTGTATGCCGCCACTGTAGTTTTTACATGGTCATTAGTGACAGTAAAATACAAATACAAAATTCTGAACTGTTTTATTATTATGGGAGGACAATATTGTTTGCGTCAACATCGGTTTTGGGTTTTACTAAATATTAAATAATCTTAAAAAAATAAGCAAAATCTCTACGAACCTTATTGAGAAAGATTGAAAATAATCTCTTCTTACCAGTAAGCATACTAAATAAAAACCCTAAAATAAGCTTACAGTAGAAAAATCAAATTTCCATAGACAAGATAAATAGTTTAAGTACCGGTATAATGCGTAATAGATATAAGATAAATATGTAGGCAAAAGTGGTCAAAAAGTCAGAAACCAACCCCGTACAATAGATATAAGTTATCTCGATAAGAAATAGTTTTAAGTAATACTGTTATATTACGATTTTCCACTGATTTCGTAATAGAACGTTACATGACATGATGCAAAAGAAAATCAATGTCAAAAATCAGAAAAAAAAACATTGCTAATACATCATTTTGACAAATTCAGTCAAAATAATATGGTGTTGTTTAAAATATAATTTAAATATTAACAGCTGTGTCATTAAAAAGTAGTGACAAATTATCCATATGACCATAATGTAAACAAATCTGGGAAGGGAACTTTAAAGGCCTCTGGGGCAGAGCCCCGAGGGAATTTACTTAGGCTAGGATTATACTAGGACGCTGGCGTCCGGGATGCTGGCGTCCGAGAGGCTAGCGTCCCAAGTCGAGCCTAAAATGACGTGATTTGTGTTGGGATGCTAGCCTCTCGGACGGCCATTTTATTTCAATGTTTTGTCACTTTTTGTTTATATCTATTTAAATAACATTAGGTTTAACGAGTACCCAGATTTGCTGCTTTAAGGAGGCTAATATTGTGTGTTTTTAGTAAAATATTAAAAGAAATAAATAGTATGAAAAAAATTGGCCAAGTTTGACCAAAATATATCCATACACAAGTAAATTCCAACAGTTAAAAATATATTCTATAAGAATAACATGGGAATTTTAAATTTACACTTATTTGAATTTTATACGTAACTAATAACCGTACAAAAACACTTTAATATACTTAATTATATGCTTTTAAGCTGATTAAAATTGCCTAGAGAGAAATATGACAAAACCCCTTTTTTACCCCGTAAAACCCCGTTCCCAAGGAGGCACAAAATCGAGCGTCCGGTGGCTTTTTTAGCATCCGACGCTGGCATCCCTAGTATAATCGCCCCCATTTGATTTAATGCCCCGCTAGCGTCCCGGACGCCGGCCTCCCGGACGCCGGCCTCCCGGACGCCAGCGTCCTAGTATAATCCTAGCCTTAGTTTTTCTTTTGATGGCTCATCTACACTCCGAGACCTTTCTTTGGACACCTCTACCAAGTTTCTACGGCTCAGCCGTTCTCTCAAATTAGTGGAGACAAAGTTTCCAATTAAATATTTAGATTCCCTCATGTTAGGTAATCTTATGGGAGAAAACCCAACTTTGATGGAATATCCTGCCCAAACTAATAACGATTTCAAAAAATGAAAACCACTTTGCAAAACTACAGATTAGGGCCATTTTTTGACACTTTAATCATCAAAATCGGTTCAAAAATGAGGGAGGAGTTCTGTTCACAAAAATCGGCTTAGCGTATTATATATATAGAAGATAGATAGATAGATTCTGTGATAGTATTGTAGGCCTACATAAAATACTCCTTTAACAAATTCATTACTTTATTGAAAATGTACCGGTATACAAACTGAACACAATAACATCTTCTGTAGGCCTTAAGTGTTTTTCTTACATTTTTGAGTTCTGAAAACAACATTTTTTTCAGTTGAAAGAATTTATTACAGTAATAAAAACAAGTAAAATACCTGTTAAGTTTACTGTAAATATTAAGAATTTTCAAGTGAAATAATTTTACAGATTTGTTTATACTGAATGGTTGGTAAAATATAAATAATATTACTGTCCTAGTGGTTAGGATGACAGCAGAAACTTCTCAATCTGCAGAATAGTTGACTTTGTTAGCGTTTTTCTTCTAAACAGGTTTCAGTGAAGATGCCTGGAGTGGAAACCTGTAAATAAAATAGGCCGACTTAGTACTATTTACTATATTTATTACTATATTTATATTTATTTAGACATTTTCAAAATTCTATTTTAAATGGCCAACATATGTTCGTCTCAGGATGATCGAACAACACAAATTTATTTACTGTATTTATCAGTTCAATGGCAATACACCGATTACATTTCTTTACATAAAAATGGCTACTAAGTTTTACTAATTAAAATTCCTTGGCCTAGAACATTAGTAGAGCTCCAACTATTTGTCGATCATTTAATTTTGCTACGGAAACTTGATTGCTATTGCCCGTCAAACAAATCATTGACATTTTTATAGGTATCTTACATAGTAAATAGAAAATACCCCCACTGCAGCAAACCTACAGACTAAGTGAATTTCCATTTGCCTGATTTTATTTTCAACTAAATCTATTTGTGTGTTTATTTTTTGTTTTTATATTAATAGCTTAGTATAAAATAAATACAGTTGCATCGTTTGATCAAAATATATCCATAAACAAGCAATTTACAACAGTTTACTTATATTCTCTATAAGAATAACATGGGAATTTAAAACATTTTTTGAATTTCCTCGGTAACCAATAACTTAACTCTGCAAAAACACTTTGTTATACTTAAGCTAATTATTTTTTTTTTATTTTATTCTTTAAAATGGTTTAGAGAGAATTTGGGAAATTTGATGTTTTGAGGGTCAAAAATTAGAAAAACCAATTTTCACCCCATAAAACCCTGATCCCATGGTCCGATCATGCTGGTTTGCGAACTCGTTAGAATAAATGTAGTTTTACACATTTGTACCAAATTTCATCAAAATCTAATCATTTTTGCTCGAGTTATCGTGCTAACGGACACACATACATAGCCTATACTGTATATGAATTTGAACGGATGGTGTTTTTGGCCTCTGGGGACATTAAAACGAAAAAGTAAATCGGTCCCGGGTCCAGGTCTTACCATGAGATCTACAGTAGGGTAATAGCTTATTCCCTATATGGGAAATTCGCTTAAAGTGCTATCAGGGATTCTCTTCTGCAGTGCAAGGTTCAAAGAGTTTTAAACAGTCATGCATTTTAAAAATATTATTTATAGGTAATCTGTTCACAAAATTTAGACGGTTTGAGGGGAAACGATTCCATCCCCTCCACTTCACCCAAACTATGAAACAGCAGGCAGCTCATCAGCTGATACATTTAAGCTAATAAAAGTGGTGAGGGAACCCTGGAAACCTTTCCCTTTTAAAAACCGCCTAAATTTTGTGAACGGACTAGGCCTATAACAATTTAAAAAACTGTAGGCTATTATTAATTCAAGTGCCCTTTTATTTTCCAATGATTTAAAAATATGTTAAACATATTATGTAAGCAGCTGTCAAAAGTTCAAACAATTTAGGGTAGGCTACTTTCCTGTTACAGGGAATATTTGTTATTATTAATGATTTTTTTTTCGATACATCGAAATTTGTTTTATGATGCGATATATACAGTAAGACTAATTGAAACATCAGCTGTCAACTACGATAAATAAATATTGCAACAAACAATTTTAAAAAGTATTAAGTTAGGCTACCCTACATTGAAATGAAATTGTTCTAAACTAACGTTAAGTAAGTAATGTTTCTAAAATTCTGTTTGATATTCCCCACATGCTTTTTCTGTTATAAGACAAAATTTTGAAATGGTTCAGCAAGTTATGTTAGTTAGGTTTGGTTAGTTTAGAACAGTTTCATTATTTCTTAATCCATAACGTATTATTTTTGCCTAGAAACAAGATCAGTTGTCAATTGTAATTTAAATATGTTTGAAGATATTATAACAGAAAGGTTAAAGGGAAACAATTTAAAATATCAATACCGCCTATAGCCTGATAGAAAAAAAATCATCGATATGATGAATGTTCCCAATTTAACTTAGTAATTATATTACTAGGCTTTACTTTACTTGACGTCCTACACTCATTCGAATGAAAATATCGATCGATATATCGATTAATCGATTGCTTCATTCGATATATCGTTAGTTAGGTAAGGTTAACCTAACCTAACTAACCAAACGATATACCGTCAACCGGGGTTAGATTGACCCCTTTTTTGATGTTTTTGTTGATTAATTTTTGTTGATATTGATTAATATTCACAATATATTTTTTAAATTATATACAGGTACTGTGTGAATGCCAACCAGTATTATTTTGTTTTTTATTGTCATATGTTAGTCATAAAAAAAATTATAAAAGGGGTCAATGTTACCCCGTGTCTTGGGGTGACATTGACCCCCTACATTTATTATACTAAAATTATACATAATAAAGCACTGGGGTCAATGTTACTAGTGTACAATGAAACTTTGACCCCTGTAAAAGGGGTCAATGTTACTTGAATCACTTATTTGAGAAACAACACATATCCATTTTTTTGACATTTTCACTTTTCAACTAATATGTCTTCTTTAAATGTAAATACATCGTTTTGTGTAGAAACAACACTAATCCTATGTTGCTAAGGGAAACTAAAATGGTCCTTAATATTTCGTTTATTTGAGAAACCACACATCTCCTGGACATGTGTGGTTTCTCCAACAAACAGAAATCAGCTGTGCCTGTGCAGAAATCAGTCTTCAGTTTACTTACACTTTTGAGGTTATGTATGACTTATTTCGTGAAAGAGCTTATTTCGTTTTTTATTATTGCATTTTAACTTACTTTCATTATGTCAGATAGTGAGGAAATTCCTAAGAAGAGAAGGAAAGGTGTAAAAGGTGTTAAGTACAAGTGTGAAATAATAAAAGAGTGTCGTGTAAAAGGAATAAACTACAAAAACTGGAAAGGTAAAGATGTTGTTCTAACCAAGAAAGGAGTAGACTGTCTGTGTACAATGAAGTGTTTTGAAAGAGTGAACTCTACTGATAGGGACGAAATAAATAATAGGTTCTATAGCCTAAATACTAAGAATGAACAGGACTCGTACTTGCAAAGCCTTATTACTTTGCATGAAATTGCTCGACGAAGGCCTAAGGAAGAAGTAAATCCAAAGCCTAAGTCTTATTCTTATACTTACCGAGTTTCATGTAGTTCAGGTGCTTATTCTGTATGCAAAAAGGCTTTTGCAGCAATACATGGTATTTCAGAAAATCGTATCCGAAGATTGTACACTTTGTTGTCTCAGGGCAAATCACCTATAGATATGCGTGGAAAGCAGAGACCAGGCAATGCAAAATCAGACCAAGTGATTCAGACGGTATGTAATCATATACAGTCATTCCCACTCAAATCATCCCACTACAGCAATAAAATTTTAAACTATTTAAGCGAGAGGCTTAATGTTAAGGTTATGTATAAGTTGTTTTTGGACAAGTATCCAGATATGGTAAAAGATGTGAAGTACAATTTTTACTATAAGCTATACAAAGAAAAGTATGGATTTCCATTCGGAAGGCCACAAATAGACACATGCGTAGCCTGCGAAGAACTTGGTGTTAAAATTAAAAGCGTGAGGTTGAATGACAGAGCAAAGCTAGCTGCAGCAGCAGAGAAAATAGTACACATTAGAAGGGCTAAAAAGTTTTTCAAAAAATTAGGTGAAGTGAAAAAAACTGTGAAAAATAGCAACAATTCTGCCGCTGTTTGCCTGGATTACATGCAAAACTTGGAGCTGCCACATATTCCTATCCAAGACGTATTTTACCTACGACAGTTAACTGTCAATGTTTTAAGCATACATGATTTAAAAACAGGTAAAGCAAACATCTATGTTTATCATGAAGGTATGGCCAAAAAGGGACCTAATGAGGTTGTATCATTTTTAAATGAATATGTGGAGTCTCTACCCAAAGAAATACAAAAATTGTATGTTTTCTCTGATGGTTGCGGTGGACAGGTGAAAAATAATACAGTGGTACGCTACCTACTTTCTTTGACGGACCGGAAAAGGTTTAGTGAAATTACCCAATTTTTTCCTGTGCGTGGCCATTCATATCTTCCTTGTGACCGGGACTTTAGTGTCATCAAAAGGAAATTAAAGACTGTAGATAGAACCTACACCTTACGTGAGTATGTTGAGCAAATCATTACCTCAAGCGATAAGATGAATTTTATGGTAACAGTTCCTCAGACCGAAGACATCTTTGATTTCAAATCATGGTGGAAACCATTCTATAATACCCCCGCCGCAGCTAACCTGCTGTCTAAGCGAATTTCCATTTGGCTGAATTGCTTTTCAATTGATCTATTTCAATAAAATTAGGTTTAACGAGTACCTAGGTTTGCTGCTACAAGGAAACTAATAAAGTGTGTGTTTTAAGTAAAATAATTATTGCTTAGTATAAAATAAATATATATTTGCCAAGTTTGATCAAAAGATATCCATAAACAAGCAAACTACAACATTTTTCAATATTCTCCATAAGAATAACACGGGGATTTTTAATTTACAATTTTTTTAGTTTTCTCCGTAACCAATAACCGTACAAAAACACTTTGATATACTGAATTGTTTGTTTTTTTAAGCTCTTTAAGAAGGTTTAGAGAAAAATTGGGAAATTTTGTGTTTTGAGGGTCAAAAGTGAGAAAAACCAATTTTTACCCCATAAAACCCCCCATAAAACCCTGTTCCCATGGTCCGATCATGCTGGATCGCGAACTCATTCAAGTTTATCCCGCCTTACACCTTCAAACCAAATTTCATCAAAATCAGATAAAAATTACTCAAGTTATCGTGTTCACGGACACATATATATATATATATATATATATATATATATATACATATATAAAAATTTGAACGAATGGTGTTTTTGGCCTCTGGGGACATCGAAACGAAAAAGTAAATCGGTCCCGGGCCTAAGTCTTACCATGAGACCTACGGTAATAGCTACTTCCCTATAGGGAAATTCGCTAAAAGAAATACAATATCTGAATCGTCAAGAGGACGTCATGTGCCCAAGGATCAAAAGGTGCATTTCAACATAAGCAATTTTAGGCATTTGACATACAATTCTCAAGAAAAAGGAACAGTGTATACCAGAGAGTTCATTGACTGCATCGTACAACACAAGTTTTGCCTTTCGTCTCGCTTGGAATCGCCTAGTGAACCACCCAAAAAGGCCTACCCTAGTGGAAAAGTCCCTATTAATGTTAAAAAAATGTTGGATCTTAAGAAGATAGCTAATTGTTTACCTCAGGATGAAGATATTCAAGAGTTTTGGAAAGAAATTTATGAGTGGCCAACACACCAAGGCAACGAAGAAAATGAAACACTCCAAAACGAAGAACTGGATGATTGAAGGTATGAAAAATGGACAGATTTGACTCTATGTAGGCTTTAACCAACTCAGAAAACATATTCATGACATGTTTAATAAATTGTGTAATTTTAAACAACTAACAATCTATTTATATTATATCCTTTTCTCAATTTATTTGAGAAACCACACATCTCCATTTTTTTTTTATTTTATAAAAAAATATTAAAATAAATTATTAAAGAAATAAGTTGATAAAACATATTAGAATGACGTTAGTTATGTATACAAATATAATATAACTAAATTATTTAAGCAATTTAGTTGCAAATATGTTTTTTTTTGTTTTCCGAAAGTTTTATTTTGTGGATATGTGTTGTTTCTCAAATAAGCGATTCACTTAAGAACAATAGAGTGGTAACAACATCAAGGAGTGAACATAAAAATTTTTTTATGAACTCACCTAGGCTATAATAATGGAATAAATCAAATTAGCAATTTTTTTTATCACATGATTAGGATGTAACACCAAGGTAAAACATCAAAACTACAAGTTATTAGTGACTAAAATCATTAAATTTCCTGTACTCAAACCCTTCCAATAAGTTATAGAAAATTTTGCGCCCATTAGATTCCAGAGTTCCCGGCTACTTACCAATCAGATCTACAGATGGGGCAGAATAGAAAACACATAATTTTCTTTTGGATGTAAATTTGTCCCCATAGTTAGTGTCAACAGAATTAAGTCACATTACTTCAACAAACTGTTGATTTTTTTAACTTAACAGGCAAAGACCTGGTTAAAGTGTTGTTTTCCTCGCTTTCCACAGATTGCTTTTACCTCAACTTCATAGATAAAAATAAAACAATTATAAATCAACATTTTTAGTAGGTCTATTACATTATATTCATAAATCAATTAAATTAAATATACCAGAATTAATAAAAATTATGTGTAGGCTTATTACTAATTAGTAACTTGGAATTATAACGAGGGGTCAAAGTTATCCGAAGGCAAAAAAAATAAGGGGTCAATGTTACAAGGCCTTAAAAAATAATTATTAATTTATTTAATTTTCTTTATTTGCTTGTAATAAGTGCTCAAATATTCCTAAAAACATATATATTTTACCATATAAAATCCTGACAGTGCCAGAACCAACAGTTTTTGCTGGGCTGAAAAAGTTTTTTGTTATGAAATTATACAGGGTATTGTAGATGATTGTATTATAATTTTTTTGTATTGTTATAAAACTAATTTCTGCTAAATATTATTTGTTTTCAAATTGCTACCAAACTACTGAAATGTATCATATTTTTTATTTTCAATTTATTTATAACCTACTATTTAAAAAAGAATATAATAAAAATAATTGACCCCGGGGTCAATGTTACCCCTGGGGGGTCAGAATTACCCCGCTTGACGGTACCTATCGAATGAAAATATCGAATCGAAAAAAACAATCGAATGAGTGTAGGACGTCAAGTAAAGTGTAGCCTATTAGAAACTTTAAGCTATTGTTACACAGGAATACAGGTACGGTATAACGCAGAATGGTAGAAATGAGAAAAAAATAGTTTTAGGAAATGGTGTATTTCAACCACGAACAGGACAGTAAATTCCGTGTTTTTGGCCCATCTGTTCTAATAACTAACTTATCCAATTTGCAATTGGTTGGCTGGGGAATAAAAAATACAGCTTTAAAATAGTATTACCGAAGTCAGTAAAACAACTGTGCAGCCACTAAATGATACATTGGTGCACCTTTTTAAAAGGTAAAATAGAAGATAAAATATCAAAAAAGATAAAGTTTTCAAGAACCTACCTTTTAGTTGGATTTGGATACATATCTTGTAGGTAGCATCTAAGATGTTGGTAGGCCTATAGTATTTATTAAATTTCAACCGTGTGGAGTTTCCAAATTAAAAAATAAACTACGATAGACACTTGTTAAATAAATTAAAGATACTGTAAGAACTAAAAAATCGTCCAAAAAACCTAGAATTCCAAAATGCACTTCAGGGAATAAATCATTTGGGAACAGTATATATGAGGCTACAGCAAACATAATGATGTATAATAAGGTTTTCATTCGATTTTGAACCACAATATCATTAGGGTTATTGAAAGATCTCCATAAGCGCCTTACAAAAACTGGAAGTTCAAACACAGTTTGCAAGAGCGTACGATTTCTAACAGAGAAAAGTATGTTGTATTCTTGAATCTCACTGATCAGGTTGTCCCTGGTGTGTCCTAAGTCTGTTTGTCTATCATGTCCATACTCGTCGACAGAAAACACTGGGTACAACATTGCAACCCGAGTTCTACACACTGGACAGTTGAAAGTCCTGTGGCGAGCATACTGTATTAGCCCCAGCAGGCAAGTACCACAGAATAAATGGAAGCAATCAGTTTCAACTGCAAAATTTATGGAGCCAAAACAAACTGGGCATGGCTCTTCAGATCTGTTATAACTAGGCTGTGGAGGTTGCACAAGCAAACTAGCATCTCTTTGATTTTCTTCCAAAGTTTGCTTCAATTGTTTCATACATTTAAACACAAAAACTGAGGAAGTCACGATGATCACAAAAAATGCCACAACTACTTCACCATCAACTCCTTCAATAGAAAACAAATCAAAAATTCTAGTCATTACAAATTTATTGTCGGGACTGGTTTCCATTTTTTAGTTTGAGTTGTTTAAGAGTTTAGGCTAAGTTAATGTAAGTACCTGAAAACACCAGATTGAATTACTAGAACTACACTACTAGGCCTAGGCCTATTTACATATTTTGAAAATTGATATAACGGTCCGACTTTGTTATATGTTTAGCAAAAATAACAATTTATTTAACCTGAAAACGGAGTATCACAATCATAATGATAAAATTATCAAGAAACTACAGCTAATGCTAAAAATAATAAGAGATAGGTAAAGAAAGGTTAAAGTTAAAATTGTACGTCTGCTAAACTGCAAGGTTTGTTTTGATACAGCATTGATGCCAACGTTCGTTAATAAAACAACTTTGATTGCATTCTGTATATATGTTTATTTTGCACATGACTGATGATTGTAATTGAGTGTCTCACGGTCTTTTCATCCCATATCCAAAAAAAAAAAAAAAAATACTCCATCCCATAGCGTAGAAAAAACAAAACTAGTTCAACGTTAATGTATATTATTTATTTATTTATTCCAACGGGAAACCCATTACATTCATACATTACAAAAAAATAACAATAAAAAATCAAGGCAAGATGTGATACTACAAATCAAACTTACACTGTAACGGATATAACGACCACCGCTTTGTTAAATCTAATAACAAAGATAAATGATGCCTTCGACAACAAACTCATGACAAACTTAACCCTATGCGAGACGTAGGAATTGGCTAACTCAGGAACTCGCTAACTCGGTCGTGTGGCGGAACTGGCTAACTCTGGAACTGGCTAACCGTCTCAGTCAGGAATTGGCTAACTCCGGAACCCGCTAACTCGATTTTGTCTCGCGGCGGAATTCGCTAACTCTGGAAGTCGCTAACCCGGCCGCGCCCACTGCTCGGAGCGGTGCCAACCTTGTACGACAAAATAATCGTACACTGCCGTATTTAAAAATGTCAGTGTCTATAAAGATACAGTAAATGTTATTGTTTTTTGTTATCAATTCCACTTTTAACAGATAACTAGCCCAAAGTAATTAAAAGACAATTAAAAAATCATGAAAAAATGTTTTTTATTAAACTGTGCAATGGCCAGTTAAATGTTTATGATTTCGATCTTAAATATAAATGCCATCAGTATAAAAGAAAATAATAGAATATGAAAAATATTCAAAATTTAGTTTAATTGGTAATAAATAATTAAACCTCTACGAAATTAAGCTAAAATACACGCAAGTTCTTAAACACGGAAAACAGATTTAATTGTAATGTCGTAATAAACCAAAACCATTAATTAATACAGTCATCAACCATCGTAACTTTCATAATTAGTTCATAGATTTTAAATTTAATGTTCGTCTTTGAACCGTCCAACTTACGTGTACACATATGATGACATAGACTAAGTTATTATCTAGGCCTAATAGTTTGAACCAAAGCATTGTAGGCCTACTAGTAAATAGTTGCCTAATTCTAAAATGTGTTGAATTTTTTAGCAATAATGTTACATGTTTTAAACCAGTTTTTAGATTGTACACCTAAGCACCACTAGTAAAAAATAGGAGAAGATATAATATTCATATAATAAAACGTGACAGGGTTATTTTAAATCACGATTTTTAATAAACTAATTGACGGATTTTCCTGATTTGAGTGTTGGGTTTCCTTTATATTGCTTTCACAAACGATATAAACTATAGCAAGCCATTGCTCGGTTCACTGTTCCCCAGTACTGAGCTACACAATAGACAATAGCTTTGTTTTTGGATAAGATAGAACCAGCCTGGAAAAAAAACTCCAGACTTTTAAAAAGTAAGCCTACTGAAAGACGTAAAATTAATATTAATTCAACAAAATTAAGAGGATGACCCGGGTTCTACACTAATAGCCTACGATAAAAGAAATTTACAAGTTGTATTTATGCATAGACCAACTTTTAATGCAATCCATGAATACATTAGGCCTACCACTTTATAATGTATTGATAAATATTTATTTAAATTCAATAGCTCTATTTAAAAATGCGTAACCACTACAATGTAATTCTGTAATGACGTTCAACGTGTAAATTTTATTATGATTTATGATTTAAGGTTACTACAAGCCCAGTATATAAAATACGAACTCAAAAATTTTATTTGCAGAAGTTCACAAAATGGTATTTATTCGAATAAAAGAAACAAATGGCAGACTACGAAAATAGATATTTCATAACATGTAATAGATCCAAATTAAATGTGCATTTTTATCTTTTTCATACCAATAAGCTACTATTTAAGTAAGAAACCCACATATAAAACATACTCCCTTATATTAGTACATTTCTAATCCTTATGGATCATCTGAAGACAGTTGTATTGTTAGTTCTGTCCGGTGCACTGTCTTTAGAGGTCGTGTTTTGTTTACAATTGTTTCTTGTTTTTAGTAATTTAAAACCTCGTTTAACCAAATAAAACGTTCTAATCACAACTAATAACACGTCCCCTAGTTATATAACCAAACAGTAAGGAACAAATCATGAAGTTAACTATAAAATGATAGAAACACAATTTTGTCGACACTAGCGATCAGTGTCACCGGACATGAACTAGACACGAAAAACGAGCTTCAAAGTTTACAAAGGGATGTAATGTTTACTTGTGTTGGTTAGTCTATGGTAAGACTATAATGCATTTTCCACCCTAATAACCATAAGAATAATGTTAAACATACTTCGAAATATATTTATTTTATCGACTACGTTGTTCTTACTCCTAATTAATCGTAGGATACGACATTATGGTACCGATACGATATAGGTAGTACACTTTCGGCAACACTGGCCAAAAATATTCGTGCTTGGCTCCCATTGGACGGCCCGCGAGGCTTCTGATTGGGAGTTAGCGAGTTCCGCCGAGGGACCGAGTTAGCGACTTCCGTACGAGGACGGAATTCGCTAACCCGGCTTTAGAGCGGGTTAGCGGGTTCCGGAGTTAGCCAATTCCGAAACCGAACAAGTTAGCGAGTTCCTCTCATCGACCAAATTTGAAGATAGGGCATTTAACATGGGGTTAGCGAGTTCCAGAGTTAGCCAATTCCGCGGACCCCCCTAGAGACGTAGGAATTGGCTAACTCAGGAACTCGCTAACTCGGTCGTGTGGCGGAACTGGCTAACTCTGGAACTGGCTAACCGTCTCAATCAGGAATTGGCTAACTCCGGAACCCGCTAACTCGATTTTGTCTCGCGGCGGAATTCGCTAACTCTGGAAGTCGCTAACCCGGCCGCGCCCACTGCTCGGAGCGTTGCCAACCTTGTACGACAAAATAATCGTACACTGCCGTATTTCAAAATGTCAGTGTCTATAAAGATACAGTAAATGTTATTTTTTTTTGTTATCAATTCCACCTTTAACAGATAACTAGCCCAAAGTAATTAAAAAACAATTAAAAAATCATGAAAAAGTGTTTTTTATTAAACTGTACAATGGCCAGTTAAATGTTTATGATTTCGATCTTAAATATAAATGCCATCAGTATAAAAGAAAATAATAGAATATGAAAAATATTCAAAATTTAGTTTAATTGGTAATAAATAATTAAACCTCTACGAAAATAAGCTAAAATGCACGCAAGTTCTTAAACACGGAAATCAGATTTAATTGTAATGTCGTAATAAACCAAAACCATTAATTAATACAGTCATCAACCATCGTAACTTTCATAATTAATTCATAGATTTTAAATTAAATGTCGTCGTTGAACCGTCCAACCTACGTGTACAAATATGATGACATAGACTAAGTTTTTATCCAGGCCTAATAGTTTGAACCAAAGCATTGTAGGCCTACTAGTAAATAGTTGCCTAATTCTAAAATGTGTTGAATTTTTTAGCAATAATGTTACATGTTTTAAAACAGTCTTTAGATTGTACACCTAAGCACCACTAGTAAAAAATAGAAGAAGATATAATATTCATATAATAAAACGTGACAGGGTTATTTTAATTCACGATTTTTAATAAACTAATTGACGGATTTTCCTGATTTGAGTGTTGGGTTTCCTTTATATTGCTTTCACAAACGATATAAACTATACCAAGCCATTGCTCGGTTCACCGTTCCCCAGTACTGAGCTACACAATAGACAATAGCTTTGTTTTTGGATAAGATAGAATCAGCCTGGAAAAAAACTCCAGACTTTTAAAAAGTAAGCCTACTGAAAGACGTAAAATTAATATTAATTCAACAAAATTAAGAGGATGACCCGGGTTCTACACTAATAGCCTACGATAAAAGAAATTTACAAGTTGTATTTATGCATAGACTAACTTTTAATGCAATCCATGAATACATTAGGCCTACCACTTTATAATGTATTGATAAATATTTATTTAAATTCAATATAGCTCTATTTAAAAATACATAACCACTACAATGTAATTCTGTAATGACGTTTAACGTGTAATTTTTATTATGATTTATGATTTAAGGTTACTACAAGCCCAGTATATAAAATACGAACTCAAAAATTTTATTTGCAGAAGTTCACAAAATGGTATTTATTCGAATAAAAGAAACAAATGGCGGACTACGAAAATAGATATTTCATAACATGTAATAGATCCAAATTAAATGTGCATTTTTATCTTTTTCATACCAATAAGCTACTATTTAAGTAAGAAACCCACATATAAAACATACTCCCTTATATTAGTACATTTCTCATCCTTATGGATGATCTGAAGACAGTTGTATTGTTAGTTCTGTCCGGTGTACTGTCTTTAGAGGTCGTGTTTTGTTTACAATTGTTTCTTGTTTTCAGTAATTTAAAACCTCGTTTAACCAAATAAAACGTTCTAATCACAACTAATAACACGTCCCCTAGTTATATAACCAAACAGTAAGGAACAAATCATGAAGTTAACTATAAAATAATAGAAACACAATTTTGTCGACACTAGCGATCAGTGTCACCGGACATGAACTAGACACGAAAAACGAGCTTCAAAGTTTACAATGGGATGTAAAGTTTACTTGTGTTGGTTAGTCTATGGTAAGACCATAATGCATTTTCCACCCTAATAATCATAAGAACTTCTCTGTGGTTAAACATACTTCAAAATATATTTATTTTATCGACTACGTTGCTTTTACTCCTAATTAAGCGTAGGATACTACATTATGGTGCCGATACGATATAGGTACTACACTTTCGGCAACACTGGCCAAAAATATTCGTGCTTGGCTCCCATTGGACGGCCCGCGAGGCTTCTGATTGGGAGTTAGCGAGTTCCGCCGAGGGACCGAGTTAGCGACTTCC